CTACGCAACCTTTGCAGTTGAGCACTTTGCACTCTGTCATTGCCTTGAAACTTTCTCTTCATTGATTCCCATAAATCCTTTGATGTCTCCTTCTTCAGGATCGTTTTGAGAATTGTCTTATCGATGGAAGCAAACAAGTAGTTCTTCACTTTGTGATCGATGACCACCTTCTCCGCCAACTCTGTTCTTTGTGGTCCGGTCAGAATCACGTTTCTTTCTGGTCGTTGGATTCCCGTCTCGATTAGATCCCACCACTCCTTGGATCTCAGTAAATTCTCCATGAGCATAGCCCAGTGCTCATAGTCTCCATCAAATCGTGGAATGATTGGTGTATCTCTGTCACTCATTTTCTGTTTCTCTCTCGTACCAAGCTCGTTACAAGCTCTGATACCACTTTGTTATCTTTTGTTGAAGTGATTCAGAAGACAATAAGATTTCAAGCTTAACTGAATACTTCGACTTGTATTGATAGAAAATGAAGAAAAAAAAAGAAGGTCTTTTATAGACCGTTACAGAAGAAACAAATATGACCGAATCAAATTCAACAACTTCCTAATATCTCGAACTGCAGCTGCTACAAACTAGGAGGATTTATTCAAACATGAGAACTTAAACAACAACTAACGACTCTGTTTTATTCTTCACTAATTGTGCCTTGGTGAGGCTTTATGCCAAGTTGGGGCTTCATCGTTTCAATTTGTTAGAGGTAAAGAAACTAGACTCGTGTGTATATATCTTATGTAGCACATTATACACACATTCTCAATTTTGTTGTTCTTCATCTGGTTTAGGGAAAAAGCTTCCAGCTCCATCGCTTAAAGTATTTCAACACGAGTCTTCATTGTGGTGCTGCTTCGTATTACATTACTTTGTCTGCACGGGTTCCAGCCAGCGGTTTGGAGCAACTCTTTCAGGTTAAAGTCGATGAAGAATGTCTTGGTGTTTTAGATCGTGGATAGTGTTACGATCGGTTGCTTCTTTGAGGCCCATGAGATGGCCCCTCCCCCAAGCATGAACACGTATCCTGATGTGCTTCGCCTGTCATCTATATCTCCTGCATAGTCACTATCAACATAGCCAACCAGCTTTCCTCCTTCCCCTGATTTGTACTGTATTCCATAGCTCATTGTACCTTGTACATACCTGAGAATCCGTTTGGTGGCGAGCAAGTGTTGCTCTCTTGGACTCTCCATGTACCTGCTAACAAGATTTACAGAGTAGATCAGGTCTGGTCTGGTTGCTGTCAGATATCTCAGGCTTCCAACAAGTTGTTTAAACATTGTTGTATTCACTTCTTCTCCTGCACCCGTCTTTGAAAGCTTGTGTCCAGGGACTATTGGATTTTTCACAGGATTGCACTCTTCCATCCCATACTTCTTAAGAGTTTCTTCTGCGTACTTTTGTTGACCGATGAAGATTCCATACTTATCTTGCACCACTTCTACGCCCAAGAAATACTTCATTAATCCCAAATCGGTCATAGAGAACTCTTCCATCATTGAAGTTTTGAACCGTGCGAGCATAGTACTTGAGTTACCCGTGTATATGAGATCGTCAACATAGATGCTCACTAACAAGACGCTTCCATTCTCCTTCTTCATGAATAGCGCGTGCTCGCAGTAACACTTTTCAAAACCCTCCCTTAGAAAGTATACTTCAATGCGACTATACCAAGCCCTCAGAGCCTGTTTCAACCCATATAGCGCTCTGTTCAGTTTATATACTTTGTGTTCTTCTCCTTTTACTTCAAATCCCTTAGGCTGCTCAACATACACGTCTTCTTCTAATTCTCCGTGTAAGAAAGCGCTCTTGACATCGAGCTAGTAAACCTTCCATGTGTTTTGAGCGGCTAGGGCTAGTATTGACCTGATGGTGTCCCATCTCGCTACCGGAGCGAACACTTCGTAGAAATCAACTCCTTGTTTCTGATGATATCCTTTTGTAACCAATCTGGCCTTGAACTTATCCACCTCTCCTCTCTCATTAAGCTTCGTTTTATAGATCCATTTGACACCAATCACCCTTGCTCCTTCAGGTAGCTCCATGAGTTCCCATGTATTATTCTCTTCGATGGAAGCAATCTCAGCTTCCATTGCTTTCCTCCACACTTCTTCTTGTACTGCTATCTCATAGCAGTCAGGATCTTCTGAAGCGATGAACATCGCAATGATGTCTTCTCCTTCTTCTGAGACAACAAAGCCAGCTTTTCCTCCAACATAATCCTTCATCCATATTGGCGGTTGCCTTTGTCTCGCTTCTCCTGATCCTGCTGCATTTTCTGCAGGTATTGCTTGCTGTACTTCCTCTTCTCCTTCTGCTATTTCTTCTCTAGTTTCATCTTCTTCTGTGTTTTGATTACCACCACTTGACTCTTCTGCAGCGTTTTCTTCTGATTGTGAGGCAGAGTTCTCATTGTTCTCCATTGTCTCCTCTGTCTCAGAGTAATCTTCATCATCCTAGACGAGTTCCTTGACTGAATTAAGTTCTTCCCAGCCCCATCCTTGTCTCTCGTCAAATTGTACATCTCGGCTGATTACTATCTTCTTTGTCTCAGGTATGTAGAGACGATATGCTTTAGATTCCTTGCTTATGCCAAACATCACACCCTTAATGCATTTCTCATCAAATTTGATCCTCTTCTCATATGGAACTAAAGCATACGCAGTACATGCAAATACTCTGAGATGCTCTACTGTTGGTTTCAGATTGCTCCACTTCTCCTGAGGAGTTACCTCCCCCAAAGCAGCTGATGGACTGCGATTCAGAACATACACGGCATAAGAAGCAGCTTCTGGCCAGTATTTCCGAGGTACTGACATCTCAAACAACATGCATCTTGTCATGTTCATAATGCTTCGATTCTTCCTCTCTGCGATGCCATTCTGCTGTGGTGTGTAAGCAGCTGTGAGTTGTCTCCTAATCCCGTTTTCTTTGCAATACTCCTCAAACGCCTTGGAGTTGTACTCACCCCCACGATCTGTTCTTAAGCACACCAAGCCTTGTCCCAATTCCCTCTCAGCTGCTGTTCGAAACTCCTTGAACACATATAGCGTTTCTAACTTTTCTGAGAGAAAGTAGCTCCAACATTTCTGACTATAATCATCAATGAAGTTGATTATATACTTCTTACCACTCTCAGATGTTGGGGTAATTGGTCCACATATGTCACTGTGAACTAGCTGTAGCCCTCGAGTAGATTTCCAGAGACTTTTCTTGGGAATGTTTTCTCTGTTCTGCTTTCCCTTTAGACACACCTCACATACAGCTCCATCATTTTCATCTTGGAAGAGACTTGGCATCCCATTCACCATCTTCTTTTCCACCAGCAATTTAAGTCCCTTATGGTTGAGATGTCCAAATCGCTTGTGCCAGAGCTGATCAGCGTTCTCTACCACCTGCAGACACTTGCTTTCTGCAGTCTCCTTTGTGTTTCTCACTTTTGCCAAAATGATAAACATCCGGTTCTTCGACATTGCCGAATGCATAATCACTTTCCTCAGACGCTTGTTCCAGATTTCACACACATCATCATCAATGGTGAACCTCAGTCCCTTTTGTTGTAGTTGTCCCATACTGAATAGGTTGTTTTTCAGTCCTGGAACATAGTAGACAGAAGTGATCACCGTGATCCCTCCATTGATCTCCAATCGCACATTGCCTCTGCCTTCAACTGTCATCTTTCTGTCATCTCCAAGTTTCATACTTGCACTGAAGTTCTTGTCAAGCTCGCTGAACCATTCCTCGTTTCCACACATATGGTTGCTGCATCCCGAGTCTAAGAACCAGATGTGTTCGTCTTCTTCTTTACTGATGTTAACATGTGCCATTAACAGCATGTCTTCCTCCAACTCTGCATAATTGGCTTCTTTTTCCCACTCCGGACACTCAGATTTATAGTGTCCCTTCTTATGACACTTGAAACATTCAACCAGCTCCTTGTTATAGCTTGAGCTTCCATCTCCTCGGCCTTGATATCCTCCTCTGCCTCTCCCTCGAGTCAGATTTCTTCCTCGGCCTCTTCCATTTCCAGATCTCCATTGTTCTTCCGCCTTTAGAGCATGTTCCTCTCCTGCATGTCTGCTCAGATTTTGCTCATGAACCATCAGAGAGCTTTGTAACCCATCAACCGTCATTTCCCTGATGTCATTGGACTCCTCGATGGCACATACAACGTAAGTGAACTTCTCCACCAGAGTTCTTAAGATTTTCTCCACTACTTTGGCATCTGGCATCTCCTCTCCCAGATTCCTCATGTTGTTAGCTACTTCCATTACTCTCGAGAAGTAGCTTGCAATCGTTTCTCCAATCTTCATTTCGAGTATCTCAAAGTCTCTACGCAACCTTTGCAGTTGAGCACTTTGCACTCTGTCATTGCCTTGAAACTTTCTCTTCATTGATTCCCATAAATCCTTTGATGTCTCCTTCTTCAGGATCGTTTTGAGAATTGTCTTATCGATGGAAGCAAACAAGTAGTTCTTCACTTTGTGATCGATGACCACCTTCTCCGCCAACTCTGTTCTTTGTGGTCCGGTCAGAATCACGTTTCTTTCTGGTCGTTGGATTCCTGTCTCGATTAGATCCCACCACTCCTTGGATCTCAGTAAATTCTCCATGAGCATAGCCCAGTGCTCATAGTCTCCATCAAATCGTGGAATGATTGGTGTATCTCTGTCACTCATTTTCTGTTTCTCTCTCGTACCAAGCTCGTTACAAGCTCTGATACCACTTTGTTATCTTTTGTTGAAGTGATTCAGAAGACAATAAGATTTCAAGCTTAACTGAATACTTCGACTTGTATTGATAGAAAATGAAGAAAAAAAAAGAAGGTCTTTTATAGACCGTTACAGAAGAAACAAATATGACCGAATCAAATTCAACAACTTCCTAATATCTTGAACTGCAGCTCCTACAAACTAGGAGGATTTATTCAAACATGAGAACTTAAACAACAACTAACGACTCTGTTTTATTCTTCACTAATTGTGCCTTGGTGAGGCTTTATGCCAAGTTGGGGCTTCATCGTTTCAATTTGTTAGAGGTAAAGAAACTAGACTCGTGTGTATATATCTTATGTAGCACATTATACACACATTCTCAATTTTGTTGTTCTTCATCTGGTTTAGGGAAAAAGCTTCCAGCTCCATCGCTTAAAGTATTTCAACACGAGTCTTCATTGTGGTGCTGCTTCGTATTACATTACTTTGTCTGCACGGGTTCCAGCCAGCGGTTTGGAGCAACTCTTTCAGGTTAAAGTCGATGAAGAATGTCTTGGTGTTTTAGATCTGACATGCCCTATTGCTAGACCCCTAGGTAAAGATGACTTTGTATCTGCTTCGTTCCATTTTTAATAGAAATCTGATACACTTGCTGATTATATAATGTGTTGCATAGTGACAGAGAGTTCAGAGAAGGTTGAGCAGGAACCAGTGTGTGGTTTTGGTTTGCACAAACCAAGATTGCCTCATTGGCCTTCGTCAGAGAGTGCTTTCAACGATACAGCACGGTTTTACCTGGTAAGACACAACACAACACAACACTTGTGGTCGCATGCATTAGTTTTGCTTTTGGCTAGAGTCATACATGTTTTATTTGGCTTTTTCAGGTGAAGGAATCAGAGTTGCGATGCAATGATTGGATTTCTACGTATGTGGAACTTGCAATCTGCACTTCCGTTAGGAGTATTGAAGATGTAAGGATTTATTTTTGCATATAATTAACATACCATGAGCATGAGTGTGCAATGTTGTTCATTATATGATTAACAAGAGGTCTTGTTTGGAAAATGTTGGTTTCTTCAGCGCCATCTGTCCCTGTTCGAGCTGGAGATTGTGCAAGTAGCTATAGAAGCTCTTGAAGATGTGGAGCCGCCCAGCCTCGACACAAAAAATGCAGTCTTTTACATAGTTTATAAAGACTTGGCCAAAGCTCGGACTGGTGAGCCTTGCGATCGCAAAGTTATAGTTCGACGCCTCATCGACGAGGAGGCTACAGGAACATTGGCTCTCAAGGGCAAGTCTGGAGCGAAGAAGAAAAAGAAGCGTCAAGAGAAGAAGATAAAGCTTTGAAACCCGAGAGGATTGGCAAATGTGAATCTGATGGATTAACAATTATTAGTTATCGAGACTGTGTTATTTTGTGCTCTTGGATTTCTCTTTGTACGCTTTTATTTAATGGCCAAAAACTCTTTGTACGCTTTTATTTAAATTGTGTTTGGCGAAAATTGCTGTTTTCTTGGTCATTGAAGAAAACAGAACATCTTCTTGCACTTGAAGGCGCAAAAGATAGACTCAAATTGTTCAAAGCAGATATTTTGGAAGAATGTTCCTTCGAGCAAGCTATTGAAGGCTGTGACGCTGTCTTCCACACCGCTTCTCCGGTTAAATATACCGGATCCTCAGGTTTTTTTTAAAATGAAAATTAAGTTAATTCATCCCGAAAATGGCCAGGTTCTACAATTCAAGCTCACCCATTAGAAACATTCCCGTCTTTTAATCCTCGATGGAAGAAGGATGGTCACTTAACCAATTAGACCCTACGTTGCATACATCCTAAATATTACTGGAAGTTGCATAAATTATAAAACATACAGGAAACTTATCAACCATAGGTCTTGGATCTCAAGAATTTGAAAACCTATCTCTTGTTCGTTTCGTAGTACGACATACATTGTAACAGAGATGACATCACCAAAAAAATTAAAGAAAAGCAAAGCTGCGTGGAGAACTAATTGATATTCAGCACTGCTTCAACAAAAAAACATTACATTCTATGTTACATGAAATGAAAGAACATTTACTTTGTCAAGCTCAAGATGGTACTGAAAAATGTACCTCTACAGCTCAAGGTTACGTCTCTGATTCTAGCGGATGATGCCTCACGCAAACAAGATCGTCCAGTTTATTTCCATCCATCTTGTACTGTGACACGCCTTGCATTTGCGTATAGTGATCCCTAGCTTCTTTTCTTAAGCTCCCGAACGGCATCACTTCCCATTTCTTGTAATCTGACTTCTTCCTTATCTCACTCATGTCCGGGGATCCCGAGACGGTCCCTTTTGTAGGGTCTGCGTCGCCCCACACCTTGCAATTACCGAACTGTCCTAACCCATTCTTCGAACTAGTCGGCTGTTGGCTCCTCTGTAGGCGTAAGGCGGCTGCGTGAGCTCGGCTTATCATTTCACGGCTTGGCACGCTCGACCACTCTTCCTTCCTCTGCGACCTCATGGGAGAATGGATCCGGATTACCTGCCAAGCAATGAATAGGCAATGATCTATTCAGAAAGACAACAGAGGAGCAAAACAGAAACAAAGGTTGTGTCAAGAGATCTGTACACCAAGACACTCTAGAAGTTGGTAGTATGCCCTTCCTTGGAGTGGGTTATGCCCTTTCCTTGGCGTGGAAAAGTAACGCGTCCTACAATGGTAATAAAGACACAAAAGTGAGGAAACATGGGGACTTTTCCAGATTACCAATCTCCTAAACGAGCGCTTTAAAAATGAGAGAGATAGCAAAGAGTTATCTAGGAAACTTGCCACTCTGTGTATCCAGGATCTACGGTGAAACCATATATGTCCACGATATCGCACATGGACAATGCTAGTTCAATGGATTTCATCCCGGTTCCTTTGGCACCTCTGCGTAGGACAATTCCTTGGAAAAGATAAACAGGGTTTGGTATACTCTGTTACAAGATCGATACAAAACCGCGTAAGTCAATCATGTACATGATTTTGTAAAAGAGGCTGCAAAGATTCAGAACACAGTGTCTTCAATTTTGTCATTTTAAAGGGGATTTGTTACAAACGACCACAGTGGAAACTGGAAAAAGGAAACAGGTCATGACAGGAAGAGGAAGAAGAAAGAAAACAGTAACCAATACCTTTATCATCTCGTTGAAGTCTCGGTGGGTCACACTTTTGATTATGAGCACCTCATTGTCTGCAGTAAACGACAGTTGCAGAGGGTTAGGGCAAAGCTACGATGATTGCTTGAAGAAAAATGAACCACAAGATGCAGATAATATCTCTGTCTAATATGAGTACTGACCAGACCCATTGAGAATCTTAACCATGTTACGAGCCGCACCACGAACAACTAGCCGGAAATCTCTTTTCACTCCTACGTATTTGGCATACTTCTGCAATAATATAACGTGAATATAAGCAATGCCAGCAACCAAAAATCACAATTCAAGACTATGTAGAACGACAAGCGGTAAACTCACTGAAATCACAAATTAGAATGGTAGACATATTACCTTATTGACAGGAGCTTCGTTGTCTCGGAACACAGCATCATGACTGTCAATCTCTTCTCCGAACTCTGTTTTTAACAAATCTCCGGAATTTCCAACGACAGCGCATTTATGAAACTGTCGCGGGTGGAAAGGAGGCTTCGCTGGAAGGATCACATTAAGATGCTCCTCACACAATGTACGATTGTAACACTTATCAGCTCCCCTGAAGCCCGAAAGATCAAAATGGTTCAACAAGAAAGAACAAATGACACAAGCAAACAATTACAAAGGACGTTTGGGATCATACAGCTGAGCAATTCTCATAGCTGCGTAGTCCATCCATCCATCAGGGCGTACATCGAGGTATTCTCTTGTCAATACAGTAGTCATATTGCGGTACTGCATTACTCACACATTAGAGTCGTGAGAAGTTCTCCACGAAGAAAATCTAATCAGAGAAGAAAAGAAAGAAGCACGAACCTGCTCCCATAGGAGAAGTGCCTCACAAACATTATACTTGAACTCCAGCGGTTCAAAAATTTTAAACTGTGTATTGTACTGTCATTGAAAGATAGGAATATGAGTGTGAAAACTTGATCACATGAAAACCAATGAAATCTCAAAAAGAAACCACACAAGTGTAAACATACCCAAGTGCTGTTAGTGCCTTGAGGGAACTTGAGGATCAAATTGCAGTGATCAATGATATGGGCAGAGAGTCCAAGCCCTCTGTTCCCCTGCATAAACACTATCAACATTATTCTCACTCCCAACACATGAGAGCTTCCAAACAAGTTATAAAGGTAGAGCAAAATGTAGCAAATTAGTTTTAGCTCGCTAAATAACACTAATCTTGACTTCCAAAACATGATTCTATCGTATATTTTAGCATATTAGCTTATTTTGACGTCAAGAGAAATGCAAATCTATACCCAGATCCAGTATAGTTATTAGCTTCCAGAATCGTTTCACTCCTCCAGAATTGAAATGCACATTGTACACAGACTCAGAAGTGTATTCATACATTACAATAGATTGAAGATGAACTTCGTAATAGCAAATTCGTCTCTTTCTGAAACATCCAGAATCGGAACTGTTGCACTCTAACGCATAAGATACCGAAAGTGTGGCATTGACCCAAATCCAAAACGAAATCCGCGCCTAAAATCAAGTGTTTATCAATCAAAGAGGTGGGGAGTGGAGGAAGGAGACAAACCACGCACTGTTGAACGCTGGATTGAAAATCTGACAAGACCTGGATATCTTCCGGCTGAAGTAGATCTAGTTTATGATTATTCTCTGCTGAGATTCAGAATCAAAATAGTTATTCGAATAATTAAGGTGGGAGAAAGGAAAGAAGGAAACGGAACGGTGTGGCGATAGATGACCTGCGAAGAAGGAGGATTGGATGGTGAAGAGGAGAACGGAGAAAACTACGACGGCGCATAGGAGTTGAAGAAACGTCAGTTTGCGGCCACCTTGGTGAGATCTCATTCTTCAACCATGAAAGAGCGAAAGGGAAAGCAACGAAGCAGGTGATCGAAGAAGAAACTGATGCCGCCGGAAACTCTTAGAACGACGCCGTAGTAAGATCTCTAATCCAAGGAGGATCATAAACTCGAACAAAAAGTATGTCACGTGATCTCACGTGAGCTAACCTAAGCGAGTATTACGATTTTAGATATATTTTTTAAAAAAATCAGGTGTTAAAATTTGATGATAATTGAACTGGAGATTTTTCATGTACAACTTAATTATAAGAACTATGCTTTAAAAATATTATGAATCCACATACTGGATTTTTAAAAATTTAACCACATATTTTATGATATATGTTCATGATATTGTTGTCAAATACAGAAATTACGATGGATATATAATGAAGATAGCAATGAAAAACGTTTCTCTTCATAAAGATCAAACTTAATTATACAAATTTGTTTAAACAGGAGCAATCCATCTCAAGTCGAAGAAGAAAGCAAGAGCTGAGCAGTGTTGTGCTCGTCCTCGACGAATGGGTGATCATCAACGGCACGATCATCGTTTTCACAAGTTTGGTGGTCGCTCGAGAAGGAGTTGTCTCTTTCATTGTTCGTTTCGGAATGTACGACGAAACTCGAGTTTCCGAACCCTTTGATCCGACCAAAGCTTTGCTTACGGTTTCTTTCTCTCTCGTCCTTAAGAAACATGTCATCTTCAAGCAATCTTAGCACCTTGTCGGCTATGTTTCGAACTTTTAGGCCACAGTCGAAGTACCCTCTCTCATCAATCCACTGATCAGTCATTATGGCGTCCTCAATAAGTTGTCTCTCATGTTGAAATTCATTGAATACGCTTAGAGGTCCATTAAGCAGCAAGTGGTTCAACATTGTCAACGTGTTGCATACGCCACGCCACTCCCTTGTATCAAACATTACCATTCTGGAAGAGCAATACCAATTATATATATATGGACACTAAAATTTTGATGACTATTTTACAGGATTCTAATAGTTAAAAGGTTTTTTTTTTTTTAGAAATCTAAAGTATTTACAAAGCCTGTATATACTTTTTATATTAAATCGTGTAAATCGAAATGATATTGAATTTCTTAGCTTGTTGCGTGGAATATTTGCATTGAATTGAATGAAAAAGTTGAGGCATATAAATAACCTTTGACGTAGAACCTTAACGATTCTTTGGAATTGATCAACCTCGAAAGAAGCTCTTGTTATGACGGCCATTGAGCGTGGGTCTATGGACGAGTGCGCACTGCCCGTAACTTCTTCTGTCAATCTTCATATTGAACAAATCAAAAGCGGTTTAGCTCAAAATCAATGAAATATGAATATATATTAAATTATATTAAATATATAGTCTCACAATTCTTCTGGAGTAACATCGGTAACGGCGAGACGAGCAGTCTTGATCTTCTCCTTGATGTAGAAAGAAGCTTGCTTCTTCAGTTCATGGAACACTGGATTTTGCATAAGCTTCGACATATGTTTCTGCTCAATAAACGACCGTGTATGATCAAGATATGTATGTTGAAGTTGAAGTATCTTATCAGAAATGCAGTACGTAAGAAGAACAACAACTCCACTATATACCTATAAACAAAAACCCCACCCACTCTTTGAACGTCAAAGGTGTATAAATAATAAACAATATATGTAAGAGAGCAAGAAGACACAAGGAAGAAACGGAGAGTGATCGACATGCTTTTTTTTTTTTTTATCTTCTATGGCCTTCGTTTCATTTATCTTCAAGATTATGTAATCCTTATTAACCATCTACTTTTCTCATAAACATATCTGTCAAGTATGTCTCGTTACGTAGTTAATATATCTAAGGTTACTAAAAAGTCTATTATTTTCGTTTTTAGGAATTTGAACGAGAGTATTAAACGGATAATCAAATTAGATAATGCGCTTATGATTCGTTTTTTTGATATTTGATTAGCCGCGAACAAGTGTTGCGTTCGTTCATTGAGAACCTTAGATGTATTATGATGGTAAATAAAAAATGATAAATAAAAATAATACTATTGGAGTGAATTAGAAAAATTGTTCTTGTGTGACGAATTCAAAATATAGAATAGAGTTGACATGATTGACATGAATTCTCTAAGAATTGACAAAATGAGTGTGATTCATTAGAATTTCGGCTAAATCAGTAATGGTGTGGGTCTCAGCCAAAGCCCACACACACGAGGAAAGATGAAGACGAGTTAAAAGGGAAAACATTAGCTTCTTCCCCTTTTTCTCTGATACAAAGCTTTTTTCTTTTTCTCTCTCTCTCTCTCTCCCTTGTCCTGTGTGTGTGAAATTCAAATTCGGGCATTCGAAAACCCAGCTCCAAAATCATTGATTAGCAGCGACTTAAAAGGGCGAACCCTTTTCCCCAATTTCACGAATCGCCGCTTGAGTCAATCTCGTAACCTGGGTCACTCTTTTGTTGGGGGACATGGGAAGTAAAAGAGAAGAAGAGCGGAACGAGAAGATTATTCGCGGTCTTATGAAGCTTCCACCGAATCGCCGCTGTATCAACTGCAATAGCCTTGTAAATACTCATCACAACTCTCCTTTTTTTTGCCAATTTCTCTTCCCCTTTCATGGTCAAGGCCTAATTGCTTCTCTTCTTTCCTTGATTACAACTCAGCGTTTTATGGCCCCCGTTAGTATATTTTGCCTCTACTGAGTTTCGAGCTGATGGGTTTCGCTTTTAGTCATTTGACTTCAGCTATCTATATATATGTTTTGGGGATTTCCTTTGTTTTCTTCTAGTCTAGGAAATGTTTTCATTATTTCCTTCTGCAAATCCAACTAGTTTTCTTATTTCCGAATATGGAAATGGATACACAACCTTCGACAAGCCACACTTTTTTCATTCGTTTGGAGTTTTAATTTACCTTTTGGCTTATATAGTAAGACTTGCAAATTGGTGCAGGGTCCTCAATATGTTTGCACGACTTTCTGGACCTTCGTATGCATGGCTTGTAGCGGGATTCAGTGAGTACCCTGTACTGAATACGTTCCTACCTTTTTCTTTTTTTTCTCTCTTAGTTTCAGATTTTCATCGTTGATTTTGTTTTTAATACTCTACAGTCGTGAATTTACTCATCGTGTGAAGTCTGTATCAATGTCAAAGTTTACTTCTCAAGAGGTTGAAGTACTTCAAAATGGTGGTAATCAGGTAGTATATTGATGCTAACGTTCCATTCTTTTAACCTTTTCTGGAGATAGATGTTTCTCTTTGCAACTTATAAAAATTTCCTTTTTTCCAGCGTGCACGAGAAATATATTTGAAAAGCTGGGACCATCAACGGCAGAGACTTCCGGACAACAGGTTTAATTCATTACTTTGTCTTGTTGGTGTTCATAATTGAGCAGCGAGAGACGTAGTTATTGCTTTGTCAAAAAATATGATCTGTTTGAAATCCATGATATCATGTTTTTTGTTGTTTCTTTGGCAGTAATGCTGAAAGAGTCCGCGAATTTATCAAAAATGTGTATGTGCAAAAGAAATACGCAGGAGCAGCAAATGCTACGGATAAGCCTCTTAATGATAGCCAGGCAAGATAATCTCGTTTCTTATACGGCATTTTGCTACATTTCAAACATATTTTGGCTCATATAGGTCTTGTGAATTCTGATGCTTGATTATTTCTTTTTGAGTTGCTCTAGATTCAACCATGAGCATGCATGCATCAAACATTTATTTATACTTCCTTTTCCTGTGATGCAATTGACAGAACCATGGAAGTTCTGAAGATGTGACTCGACGGGCCAACTCGTATCATTCTTACTCCCAAAGCCCTCCTTACGACTATCAGTATGAAGAGCGTCGTTACGGAAAAATACCCTTGGGGTTAACCGGAAAGTCTGCTTCAGTAAAAGGTCTTCATTCGAAAGCCTCTAGTTTTGTATACAGCCCTGGACGGTTTAGTGATCATGCGTTTGAAGACCATTTCGCAAATGAGGGCTCTGCTCCAAGGGCTTCAGATTTCTCTGTGTCAAGTGGAGGAGATACTTTCAGGTCTGAAATACAGTCCCCAAATTTCCAGCAAGAAGGTGGATTTCGTAGTCCCCAGTTTCAGCATTCAAATGCCCCTCCAAGTGAAAACTTATTTCCAGGCAGGCAACATCAGGTAATGATAAACCCACCTTCTCTAAAAGGCTTATGTTGCAATTGAAAACTATCCCTCTGATGGAAAAGGCGAGTTTTCTGATGTTCCAACTTATCAATCTTTCTTTTCTGGAATTTCGTTTCCTTCATTCAGAGAACTACGTCTTCTGGGAGTGTCAGATCAGTTGAAAGTAATTCCATGTCTATCAAGTCATATACCTCGAGTGGTTTAGGGGAAGGCGCATCTGAGAATGGTCAAAATACAGGAAGCCAGCAAGATAAAACATCTACTCCTGTTTCTTCAGCAGCAGTGTCGACAAAGCCTCCGATTGATTTGTTTCAGTTGCCAGGAGCTCCAATGGCTCAATCAGTCAATATATCTCAACCTTCAATAGGAGCCGGATCTCCTCCACCTGTGAATTTTCATCAACCTCCACCGACATACTCATCCACCCCGACAGATTTGCTTGCTGGAATTTTGGGTCAGCAACCAGACTTGTCTGCGCCTAAGAACGAAGGATGGGCTTCTTTTGACAATCCAGTGCCTGCTGCAAAATCTACAAACATTAGCATCTCCCCTGGAGTTCCCGAGTTGGAAGTGAAAAATGAAGGAATCCCGCAGCCTAGCACAAGCATGCCATGGCCACCTTATCCATCAGTTGTGGAGCAGCATGCTTTGTCGGTTTCAAGTCCGTGGCAAGATGATCTCTCGAATGTTTTGAAAAATGTCACCCATACTCCGGTTAGCCTTTACTCTTTATTCTGTCTTTTCAATTACATCAGTTCGGGTGCAGCATGAGACAATAAAAAGGAAAATGCTTCCATGTGTCACATGGGCATATCTCATCTTAGACATTGATGATAACACTTCTTTCAATCATGAAAACTGTGATGATCTTGTTCATCTTGGGCTAGGCGAACTGGCTGGCCTCATGTTGTGACAAGTTTTATACTGTAACTACTTGTGTCTGAAACTACAGCATGATTCTACAATCAAAGAGTAGCAGTCATACAAGGGATGTGTGAGCTAACACCTACTTGACCTTTTTTTGAGTAGCCGTGGAATGCCTTTCCCGACTCTATTGAGGCCAATCCTTTGGACAGCGCTAAGCATATTCACCAAGATGGAGCAAGTACTTCGTCAGCTAACACTGATCAACAGCACTTAGAACCACAACTTGTAGAGGTTGTTGCATTTTCCCTTATCATGTCAGTGTGTTCTGGTTGAATCTCTCCATTGATTCCTCTCTGATAATATATTGATATGTCATGTCACAGGAATTAAGATATGATGGCATCCAGACAGCCACAATATCTACTGGTTCTTCTGGTTTTGGTTTTCCAGCCACAATACCAGCATACTCCCCTCACATGGTTCCAGTTATACATCGCAGCTTTCTCTTAGATGCTTATTATTCTTCAAACTTGCCTATCAGTTATTTAGTCTTTGATCGATCAAAATACTCGTTCGCAGGAAGAAGCTTGGCAGCATGTAAACCATCAAAAGTCAGCCAATCCATTTGATCTCCCTTATGATTCCGAGTTCGACTCAGATGACATGGTATGTAGAGCCCTCCCCACGCATGACTTGTAATCAAATCAAATCAGATCTCACAGCATCATTTGTATGCAATGGTGTAATGTTGTTTGAGTTGTCTATGGCATTTGATGGTTTATTTTGATAAAACACAATATAGATTACGCAAGATGACCTACATTTTCTGTGTGTATTTCTGAATATATCACTTTCACCCTTTAAAATTTTACGATTGACTACTTTGTTGTGGTGGTGTTTAATGCCAGTTCGTGGATATGAGTTCCTTGCAAGGGGCACTGCCCGATATCGAGACACCACCAACCTTCCTTAATGGTGTATCACAGCCATGGCTCTCTGCAGATTCTGTAGCCTCGTATCTACCTGCTCAAGCAGGCGCACAAGGTAATATTTATTACCTGATATGAATATTACCCCTTTTTATTTACTAGAGCCATGCAAGGAAATCAACATTTCACCATGTTGCATGAAGTGAATATCACATGTTTCCCCTAGCGTTTGTTTATTTATTTTAAATTGCTTCCATCATGTCAAGCTTGAGTTGAAAATATCCACAAGAATGGGGAAAAGAATCATATATGTTTGTGCAGCCATAACATTTTCAAGTTTCGCGTATGGGCTTGTAGGCCTGGTAGGTTATCTAACTCCTTGGAAAACTGCTGCAGGTGGCTTAGTATGCATGGCAGGGCAAGCATCAACGTCTCAACTACAGTAAGTTTCACAATCTGATAATGTAATCTTTTACCTTGGTCTATAAAAGTTGTATGACTCTGCATTGCTATGAGTGAAGAATCCTAGAAGTAGAATCTTTATAATCTGTTTATCCAGGACGGCTTATAGTTTGTCTTATTGCCTAAACATGGATGTAGGAATTCAGCAGCACAAGGCCCTGTTGCATCTACTGGAGGCAATCCATTTGCTTAGAGACTCGGCGATCTGCCTCATCTTCAATGCATTCTATTTTTTTTTTTGTTCTAAGAAGAAACCACTCTTATTGTGCCAATGTGTTTATTTATTTGTTCGAAACCAACATCAGATGTATGTACGTTTGATTTGTTGAGTGTATTTGCAAGTGGACATGACTGCCATGATTAAGTTGGCTTGAAGAAGCAGCAATTCAAACTAATCTTCTCTTCCAACGGCACCAAACATCAAAATAAAGCGTTATGAACTGAACTTGAGGACACAAGATATGATACATTTGAAAACAATTGGGAATATGTCTCGTTATATGCCATATGGTGCATTGGCCATTGGGTTACATTAGTAGCCTGAAACAGCACAAGTTGCAATACATGGATACTCATTTACTTGAGAGAATGTTGCTGGTAATCAGAACATGATAAAGTTTGTGGTCATGCCGACAAGAAACGGCTCCATCAACAATCGGGTCAAGAAGTAAAAGAGGACACCCAAGATGATGGATATGGGAAGAGCTGGGAGAGCTCGGTTGCAGACGGACAACAAAATAAGAGTGCACCCAAGTCCCGAGATGATGGCAAGGTAACAAGCGTACACCGTCATCAGATCATACATCGCCGCCCTACCAACAAGAACACTGTAGAATATAAAGTCCCCAAGACCAAGCTTGATGCCTCTGTCTAAACTCTCCTCCAAACCTCTCGCTTCTTCTTCCCTATCATCTCTCAACCCCATCAACTCAACCAGAGGAGACATTTCTTCCGATGCAACACCGTCTCTGCTCCTCCTGTTACCATCTACGCCACTGTCTACATCCGTCACCGCAACAGCATTATAATCCAGGTTATGAGAGATAGTTTCTCTTCCCTGTTGATTTGTATCATGATTACCAACTGCTTGCAGCTCTACTGATCCTGAATCTCCATCACCACCTTCACCACCACGAGCAACTAAAACCCTTAAACTCCCCACAGTCGGCCTAGCTTCATAAACCATGGCAGGGAGCTCCTCATCGCGGCTTGAAGCCAGCTCCACCAAGAGCTTTAGTGGCCCACCAGGCGCCAACACAGCAGCCAAATCATACAGAGCTAGAGCCACCAGTATAAACCATGTAGTCCACTCAGGCAACTTGGTGAACCAAGCTGCAACAACAATCCCCATAGCAACCATGTAACACTGCCTCACCACAATTGGCATCCCACCAGAAAACACGGACAAAGTCCCCAGGATCGTGAAATTGAAAAGCAATATGAAGCAGGTTATGGAGTCTACAGGAATCGCGAAATGCTGGATTATCGACAGGAATATTGCGCCACCCATCGTACCTGAGATTGACAAACAAAAACGGAATCGGAATCGAGAAAACCCTAACACCAAAGTTCGATAGCAAAGTTTGTTTACCCAAGACGAAGAAGGCGGAGAAACGCATGTAATGCTTGAGGAAATTGGTGAACTTGTAGTAGAAGAGGAGAACAAGGACGAAAGTGACGGCGGCAATGAGGACGACGAAGACGATGGCGTTCGCCAGGCTACCTTCGAGCTTCACCGTGGCGGAGTCCGAGGGATTCTCCACGTATATGAGGTTGGCGGCGGTACGGATCTGTGGGTCGGAGGTTACAGAGAGAGAGTAGGTGAGGAGGACGACGAGCAGCATGCAGATGGAGACCGGAGCCATCACGCCGATTATCTCAACTCCAAGAGAATCCATGATACTACTAGACTCCATCCTTATCAGTCAGTTTTCGTACGAGATATTTCGCTATGCCATTTCCGGTGACGACGACGACGACGACGACGAGAGAGGAGAGGTTTGAGTTCTGAGTCTTCTTCTGACCAGTCAGCTCGTTTAACCGGATATTTTCATCCCGGCTCACTTATAAATAGGAAAATTGCAAAACGGACCTTATAACTATCAATTGTTTCCAAATCAGCCTCCGAGTAAAAAGAATTCTACAAGAATTTATCGTTTTTGCCCCCAAAAGCAGAGAACCTAGAAAGAGAATGTCCGCGGAGGAGATACCCGAGGAGCTATGGAGGAAGATATTAGAGATTGGCGTAAAGTCGTCGACCTTCTCCTACAAAGATCTCTGCTGCGTCTCCATCTCCTCCCGCCGTCTCTGCCGGTTGTCCTGCGAGAATTCTCTGTGGCACTTTCTGCTCTTCCAGGATTTCTCCAGCCACATCAACTCTACATCCTCTTCTCAATCTCCCACCAAGTTCATCTACAGGACCAGGTATTTATATGTTCACTACGAAATTGTGCTTCTCAGGGTTTCCAAAATCAAGCACGATTGAAAAATATATAACTTGTGGTGGATAGGTTTGAGAGGGAGAAGGATAGGAAAGTAGCTGCACATAGAAGAGCTCTACTGAGGAAGGAAAGTGAAATTTCAGAGTTGTGCCGGAGGATTCGTGAATTGGAGGCTCGATTATCTGAGGAGGCAGAGAGATTCGAGGCTGCTTCTGTGGAATTCTTAAATTTGCAGAGAATCAGGTAGTGCCAAACGTGGAGAACATATTGTCAGATTCCAGAAACTTTTGATGTATGAATGATTGCTTCTAAGAAGTTTTGAATCTTTAAGGATTTTTACTTGTTCTTGTGTGAAAAGATGATTCTTTGTTGATCAAAGCTAAATTGTACTCTTCTTTCTTGCCTCATTCATCCTTCTGATGTAATTCGTTACTGGCTCTCTCCAGGCAAGCATCCGTAGCTTTGAATGTTTGGCAGCCAGAGGTCGTGCGTGACAGACAAAAACAAATGGTCGAGCAGAACGTTGTTCCTGTTGAGGGTCGATTGCGAGCACTTGAGATGGAAATTAAGTTGTGCAAACAGCAAATCTCTGGTGTGAATAGGGCACTTGTGAGTATCAATATCCGGGTTTTTCGATCATGTTCCACTTAGTAACTGTCTCTTAATATGCTTTCTCTGTAATTTCAGAGGGAGGTAAAACACCGATTTGACGTGGCCCAAAAAGAGCTAGAATCCATGAAGTACCATCCTTTACGAGATTATAAATTGGTACGTAGTGGAAATCATCAAGTAACTAATGCCAAGAGGAAGAAGTTGAAAACCAGCATTGATTGTAAGTTTATCAACATTTCTCCCTTTTATTCATATGTACTAGCGTTGCCGAACTATCCAAAACTTTTCCCCATGAGTATGTTCCCGAAAATATATTTGTGTGATTCGATTTAGAAGAGTATTTATCCGATATGGACTGTCTGAACTATACAGTGCTAGGCATGGAGCAACATTACAAATGTGGGACCTTTTATGGTTGAACTTATAAATTTACCTCTTAATCTTTTGCTATCTTACTTGTGGTATGGATTGTGAGTTTTTAATTTACTTATGAACTCTTGATTGGATTGGGTAAAAGCAGTTCCGGCAGCAAGATCCAGTGACAAGAAGAAGCTGTTACACTCAGAATGAGAATGATTGTTGGCTGAACCATTCCACAGAGAGTTGTTGTATTATTTGTTGTTTCTTTTCCAATCAGATGTGTAAGAAGAAAGCTGAGGTCTTTTCACAGAAGAAAATGTGGTCGAGTCTGTAACTTTGGTTGATCTGTAGATATTGCGATATCATGAATAAAGATGTATTTGTTCAAGTCTAAGGTTCCTTGGCATTGTATTATCTGGGCCAAAGGCTCTGCTGAAACCAAGTTTTGATGAAAGACTCTTTTTAGCACAATACTCAGTGTCTCCTTTTTAATGAATTACGAATCACAGTCACTATATTTTTCAGTTTTCATTTCTGTTTGTTTACTAGTCTTTTGATGAATGATGATATTGAGGATGCTAAGAAATGGTTTCATGATCACTGAACCGTAGAGAAAAAAAAAGTTTATGGGAACCTCACATAAGCAAGCTAGCTTTCTTCGAAGGGTTCGTCACATTCATGCACTTTACCTCAAATTGTCTATCATATGTTTGCATTTGGGTTTGAAATCTACGGTTATGAAAAGAAAAATCTGGTACTTTTAGTCGCGTACGAGTTTCCAGCGTGTGGGTCCGTTGGCGACGTGTCACATTTCCCCTTTTCCTTCATCTTCATTGGATAATTTTACAAAAAGTCAACACAGTGGCATAGTCGTAAATCTAGCAACCTTGGTCCCTCCCTTTTTCCTCGCCGGCTAAGTTTCCGTCGTTTCTTCACTCCCACCACTTTTTTTTTTTCTTTTCCTTTGATTTGACCAAACGAAGAATCTAAGAGCGATGAAGCATATTTTCAAGAAGCTACACAGAGGTGGGAATCAGGACCAGAATCGGACCAACGATGCAGTTCCACCGTCGGATCAGAATCGGATACAAGTTGCTGCAAATCCTCAAGCAACCCCCTCTTCTTCCGCGGAGACGCTTCCGGTGAGCGGAGCGACTTCTCAGATGATCTCTCCCGCTCCAGCCGCTGCCACGAACCGTTCGGATTACATATCCTCCGAGGAGGAATACCAAGTGCAGTTAGCCCTAGCGATCAGTGCCTCGAATTCGCAGTCCGGTGAGGATCCGGAGAAGCATCAGATCCGAGCGGCGACGTTACTGAGCCTAGGAAGCCATCACCGGATGGAGTCAAGGAGGGATTCATCGGAGCTTCTGGCCGAGAGGTTATCCAGACAGTACTGGGTACGTGTTACCTTGTTCTATATCAAAATGCTGATTTTCCACTCTTGATCGGAATGGAGAATAATTGTTTCTGTGTTGCCGAATTTAGTATTTCAATGGTTTTGGGGATTATTCTTGATTTATTGGATCCCATAGCTAATTGAATTTCAGATAGCAGAGTTGCATTGCATTACTCCTTCACTGATCAATATGCCAATGAAGCTTCCTGCTGATGATTTTTTCTTTCTTGTTGCACCTGCTTGATGTTATATACCCCTCTGAAGATTCAACTATTATTAGAAAGTTTGTAGTTTACCGATTTGTACATGATCTGACATTTGCCTTTCAAACTTACCGTACCATCGGCAGACGAAATGTTGGTAGTAATTATGTGGGCCAAATTGTCTTGCCGTTTTTGTACTGCCTCCATGGCTAATCTGTATTAAACGTTTCCTAGGAATATGGCGTGCTTGACTATGAAGAGAAAGTTGTCGATAGTTTCTACGACGTGTACAGCCTATCCACAGACTCAGCAAAGCTTCGAGAAATGCCGTCGCTGGAAGATCTTGAAAGCAATCATGGAACCCGTGGCTTTGAAGCCGTGGTTGTAAATCGACCCATTGATCCTTCCCTGGATGAGCTGCTGCAAATTGCACAATGCATTGCATTGGATTGTCCTGCTAGCAGTGTTAATGTGTTGGTACAGAGGCTGGCTGAACTTGTCACAGGCCATATGGGTGGATCTGCGCAAGATTCCAGTATAGTATTGGCAAGGTGGACTGCAAAAAGCAGTGAGTTCAAGGCAGCACTAAACACTTGTGTATTCCCTCTTGGATTTGTAAATATTGGTCTCTCCAGGCATCGTGCTCTGCTATTCAAGGTAATTTTCCAATACAGAAATATGTCTATCTTCTGCCTTGTTTGATTGAGACACCCACAACTATTGTTTCGCACCTAAGCAGATGCCTTACTACTTATGCTCATATTTCTTGTTTGATAATGGAGATTGATGCATGGGCAGTTTATTTCTCCCAATGTAGGTTTTGGCAGATAGTGTCAGGTTACCTTGTAGGTTGGTAAAAGGTAGCCATTACACGGGTAACGAGGATGATGCTGTGAATACAATAAGACTGGAAGATGATAGGTTGTTACTTATTCTTCTCACTATAATTCCAGTAAATTTTTCTTGTAATTTTTTTGCGAAGATGTAACATATCTCCCGGCCTTTCAGGGAGTACTTGGTTGATCTTATGACAGATCCTGGGACGCTTATACCTGCTGATATTGCAATCGAGCCATATAACTCACATGGAAACGCTCAGTTGCTAAAGCTTTCAGAAGGTGAAGGCAGTAGTCAGAGTTCTATGGCTGACAATAGTTCTTCTTTGGATAGAAAGCCAGAGGCTGAAATGGCAGATTCTTCAACCCCAAAGTTGGGACCACTTCGGAATTCGGATTTGAGCGCTTCACCATCTAGCGTAACTAGTTCCAGTCAGTTGGAGAATATTTCCTTGACGGCAATTGCAAAGGGGAGTCGAGGAGCCATAAATGATAGTTCGAGAACGAACATGAATGTAGTTCCATACAATCAGAACACTGAGGAAGACCCAAAAAACCTTTTTGCAGACCTTAACCCGTTTCAGAATAAGGGAAATGACAAGCTGTTTATGCCCACTAAATCAGGTTTGACTAATGTTGATGATTTTCATCAACAAAAAAATAATCCTCTGGTTGGTAAATCTCCTGCACCAATGATGTGGAAGAACTACAGTTGCAACGAAGCCCCAAAGAGAAAGGAGAATAGTTATATGGAAAATCATCTTCTCCCGAAACTCCATCGTGAACCTCGTTATGGAAATAATCATTCCTCGTATGCTACGTCAAGTTCTAGTGTAGCGGTTTCGTCAAATGTGCCTGGCAGAGACAATGTGACATGTGTGTCGCCGGTTGCTGCGCCACCACCCTTCATTTCCACTGGAAATCAGCTCACACCAAGTATGGTGGAGGATATGAATAGAAACACCTACAATGAACTAGATCTCCAGCCTAATGCTGCTGCTGTGATACATGACTACCAAAAGGATGAATCTCGCGTCCACGATCATAGAAAGTATACAAGTGATGACATATCTACTGGGTCTGATCTGAGGCTTAAGGATCAAGAAAGTACAAGTTCCTCTCTTGATTCTACATCCTACCGGAATGATCCTCAAGTTCTGGATGATGCAGATGTTGGTGAATGTGAAATCCCTTGGAAGGATCTTGTGATTGGGGAGAGAATAGGATTAGGTAATGTGGCAATCCCAGTTATTTTAATAAAATGTTTATAATGTCAAACTAGTTAGTTTTTTTTTTTTTTTTTTTTTTTGATGGCAACTAGTTTAGTATCTGTAGGGAGCAAAATTTGGTAGCATATAATATATTCCCTTTTTAGTTTTTACCATCTGCCATTGCTTATTACTAGGGATAGCTATGACATAATACTTCAGGTAGCATATAGCTTTTGTATTTAACATTTTCTAATGCTTATCTTATATCGGTCAGGATCCTATGGGGAGGTCTATCATGCTGACTGGAATGGAACGGTTAGTTTTTACAGAACCTTAAGTTTGAAATCATAATATTTGTATTGTATATATCTGTTAATTTTTTCCAGAGCTTGCTTTACGTTAGTTATGTACTTATGTTCACATTATAGACGTTGGAATTGTGTCAAGGAGCATTTATCTGGCGGTTAGCTTGAACTTGGAACACTATTAACCTGTCAAATTTGTTTATGTTTGGAAGATTCAAGAATATGTTAAATGAGATGAGTAAGCTAAATGTAGCGCCTAGACGCCTGTTTAGTCATCATACATACAGTCAAAATAGTGGTATTCTTTTAGTGAATAGTGTTTGAAAGCACTTTTAGATAGACGTGTTTCAGTCACTAGTCGCTGATGCATCAGGGGCATCCACGGTATCGTCTGGTGCAATCTCATCAGTACTAGTTGTTCTGTTTTTAGTTTGTTAAGTTTTATTCATTTTATTTAAAATAGCTCTGCCCATGCTGTACTATCTCATCTCTTATTCAAGAAGTAGAAGATTTTAAGTTTATTTTTCGGCTTCTTTGTTATGGTTGGATTTAGGAAGTTGCTGTCAAGAAATTTTTGGACCAAGACTTCTCAGGTGCTGCTTTGGCCGAGTTCAGAAGAGAAGTAAGCCATAAGTTCCCTTGCATTTGTTTGCTAGTATTCTAAGCCGCTAGTGCTTCTGATAATAAATTAGGCCAAAAACACCTCATCTCAAGAGGCCAATCAGGGAAAGGAATAGCTTACCTTTATATGATCGTACTTATGCTGCAGCTGCATATATGCGCTTGGCTTTCGATTCTCACTCTAATTATTAAGATTTCGTTATCTGAAGGTACGCATTATGCGAAGATTGCGGCATCCAAATGTTGTTTTCTTCCTTGGGGCGGTTACTCGGCCTCCAAACCTTTCCATTGTCACAGAGTTTTTGCCAAGGTTTGTCCTATCGTCTTGTTATCAATTGCATATGAGATTTTTGAGCTATCAAAGATTCTGTAGATATAATTTGTTTTATTACAGAGGAAGCTTGTATCGCATCCTTCATCGACCCAAATCCCAGATCGACGAGCGGCGCCGGATTAAAATGGCCCTTGACGTGGTAGAAAATATTTCCATTTATGATGTTCCAAGTCCTCTGGTTTATTCATTGAATAGTCACTGAATATCAGACGACTGTTACTTTTCAGGCGATGGGGATGAATTGCTTACACACGAGCACACCAACAATTGTCCATCGTGATTTAAAAACACCAAATCTTTTGGTTGATAACAACTGGAATGTGAAGGTAAGTAAACATATTTCCGAAGGATGTCCAAGTAATAGACTTGTTACTCTGATGTTGAAATAGTAGAATTTGTTTGCAGGTTGGTGATTTTGGGTTGTCTCGCTTAAAGCATAATACTTTTCTATCCTCAAAATCAACTGCTGGAACGGTGAGAAGGCAGAACTTTTTTTTTTTTTTTTTTATCCCATTATGCAATTTTCAGTTGGGGGTACGGCTTGTTTTCTGATGACATGAATGCTTAATTTTGATAGCCCGAATGGATGGCTCCGGAAGTTCTACGCAATGAGCCCTCAAATGAAAAGTGAGTAGCTTAGAGGCTCAGTGCTGTAATTGGCTCTCTATATTACAGAAATTTGTTAAGCCAAAATTGGTATTTTTGGACAGGTGTGATGTGTACAGTTTTGGGGTGATATTATGGGAACTTGCAACGTTGAGATTGCCTTGGCGAGGGATGAACCCGATGCAGGTAGTAGGAGCAGTTGGTTTCCAGAATCGGCGGCTAGAGATCCCCAAGGAACTTGATCCTGTGGTGGGAAGGATCATCTTGGAATGTTGGCAGACGTAAGTGTCATGAAACAATCCGAGGATCTTGCATCTACTGTATGTGACAAGTATGTCTTTATCGTTTTCTTTGTTTGGGCAGGGATCCGAATCTGCGGCCGTCCTTTGCTCAGCTCACGGAAGTGCTGAAGCCTTTGAACCGGCTCGTGCTTCCCTCACCACAGTAGCTGTCAACTGTGAATATGTGCGAGACAGTTCAATCATCTATACAAGGAATGTAAATGAAATCATTTTACTATAATATATATTTTGGTGTATTATGTTATAGGAAAAAAAGCTGCGATGCTGTGCTTTGTTTATTGGGTTATACTTGTTCGTCTCTCCTCTGTTTCCCCTCGAAGGACACTTATCTATCAGAAGCCAAAGCTTCTCCAACAAGAGTATATTATTTTACCTTCGATCTGTGTCACCGATGAAATGAAATCCAACATAACAACATAACATTTTAATAATTGGTTAAAAGATCAAGTTATCATAATCCACACCAAATATCCAATACAATAATTAATAATACACTCAATACATCAAGTTTAATGAATTTGGGACCAAAATGATAATACTCAGAGACTTGAGGGGGTTGGGAGAATAAATTTTAGTCTGGAAGGAGAGAGTGTACGTGGAGTGCCAAGGACAGTGAGTGATTAGGGTCCACGAATTGGCGCGAAATCCATGGGCACCGAAGTGGAAGGATTCCTCTGGCGAACAACAATGTCACTCTCTCTCTATTTTTTTTTTTAATTTACTCCTCCCTACAATCTCTCCTTCACCTCTTTTCTTCCTCTCTCTCTCCTTTTCCGATCTCACCTGCTGATCCCAATTTCATGGTTCCATTTCAGTTTCTTGTGATCACATCGTTTTGTTTTTCCTTATTCCTCTGGTTATCTTGATCCCATTGTTGTACGTAGTTTGATCCTGATTTTCTCGGAAAACTATTAATCGACTGTGTGTCATGCCGGGTTGTCCGAATCTCCGGTGTGTCTGTTTGTCCCGGAATCCACAGATTTTATAGCTTTTATAGATTTCTTGCGTAACAAGTCACCATGTCCCAAGGATTGGATTCGTAATAATTGTGAAGAAGACAAATATTGAACAATGGTACGTGAACGTCTTGCTTTTTGTGTTGCATAGGTCATCACTGCGGCATATGAATGATGATGGGTTTTGTGAAATGCAGGGAACTCCAGTAAACATAATTGTAGGGTCTCATGTTTGGGTGGAGGACTCAGACGTGGCTTGGATTGATGGTGAGGTTGAAAAGATCAATGGAGAAGAAGTTGTGATCCAAGCCACTACTGGAAAGAAGGTCACTGCAAAGTTGTCAAAGATATACCCAAAGGATGTGGAAGCTCCCGCTGGTGGTGTTGATGACATGACCAAGCTCTCTTACTTGCACGAACCTGGTGTTCTTCAAAACTTAAAGATCAGATATGAACTCAATGAGATCTATGTTAGTACCTACCTCTACCTGTTTCTTACTTTTTGCATATTCTATTTACTGTCTTGACAATTGAATCTATACTTGTTCATGACAGACTTACACAGGAAACATCCTTATCGCTATTAATCCATTTCAACGGCTGCCTCACATCTATGATAACCATATGATGCAACAATACAAAGGAGCACCATTTGGAGAACTAAGTCCTCATGTTTTTGCTGTTGCTGATGTTGCATACAGGTGACTTTTTTTAATATATTACTCTTATTATGTATGATCTCCACATGTTGTCCCTTTACATAATAATCCATGTAAACACTCGAATCAGGGCCATGATCAATGAGGGGAAAAGCAATTCGATTCTTGTAAGTGGCGAGAGCGGAGCAGGAAAAACTGAAACCACTAAGATGCTTATGAGATACCTTGCCTACTTGGGAGGCCGTGCAGTTACAGAAGGACGCACTGTTGAACAACAAGTTCTTGAAGTAATCTATATCTCTCTCTCATCTTCTTATTTGTTTATGAGCTTCATATATATATCTCTACAATACTAACTTGTATCTGCGCCCAGTCAAATCCTGTCCTTGAAGCCTTTGGTAATGCAAAAACTGTGAGGAATAACAACTCAAGTCGCTTTGGTAAATTTGTTGAGATCCAATTTGATAAGCAAGGAAGAATATCAGGAGCTGCTATAAGGACCTATCTTCTAGAGAGGTCTCGTGTGTGCCAAATCTCTGATCCGGAACGCAATTACCACTGCTTCTACCTTCTTTGTGCCGCACCGCAGGAAGAAATTGAAAAGTACAAGCTTGGTCATCCAAAGACCTTTCATTACCTCAACCAGTCCAAGTGCTACGAGCTTGTCGGTATCAGTGATGCCCATGACTATCTTGCAACTAGGAGAGCTATGGATATTGTCGGAATCAGCGAAAAGGAACAGGTCGGTTTTGTGCTAAATGCAATTTAGTTTCCTGTAAAATTCTATATATTGACGGCCCTTTGTAATTATATCAACAGGAAGCAATTTTCAGAGTGGTTGCTTCAATTCTTCATATTGGAAACATCGAATTCACCAAAGGAAAGGAAGTGGACTCATCAGTTCCCAAGGATGACAAGGCCAAATTTCATCTTAAGACAGCAGCAGAACTTCTCATGTACGTGGAGTAAAACATTTTTGCTTGTTTCTCTCTGTATGGGTTCATGAAGCTAATAGGAGGGAGTAACGTTTTCAGGTGTGATTTAAAGGCACTTGAAGATGCATTATGTAAACGTGTAATGATCACACCCGAGGAAGTTATCAAGAGAAGTCTTGATCCACAGAGTGCTGTTACCAGCAGGGACGGTCTCGCCAAGACAGTCTATTCTCGCTTGTTCGATTGGTATGTGGCTGGTTTTGGAGTTCACAGTAGTGGATCTTCCATATTTGTTGCTAAGTGAGCATCTCTAGTTATGTGCAGGTTGGTGAACAAGATTAACAATTCGATTGGACAAGATGCCAATTCTAGATCCCTAATTGGAGTTCTCGACATTTACGGATTTGAGAGCTTCAAAACTAACAGGTACATCAACCTGTACAATTATCTAGATAAGCCTCACAGATGTACATTCTCTGCTAATACCCTTGTGCTGCAGTTTCGAACAGTTCTGTATCAATTTCACTAATGAGAAGTTGCAGCAACATTTCAATCAGGTACGTTCTTGATTCTAGTGGCTAAGGATATTTTACTGTGATTATTGTATTCATTAATTTATTTTTTTGCTCTTTTCAGCATGTTTTCAAGATGGAACAGGAAGAATACACAAAAGAAGCAATAGATTGGAGCTACATTGAATTTGTGGACAATCAAGATGTTCTTGATCTTATAGAAAAGGTCATTGCTGCTTAACCAAGAAAGGACAGTTTTATCAAAATGGATTCTCTGTTTTTTAATCTCACTATCTCCTTTTCTTCTCCATCTGCAGAAACCTGGCGGAATTGTTGCTCTCCTTGATGAAGCTTGGTAATGTTAAAGATCAAAATCTAGTTCCATAAATCTTCTTTTTCGGGAATATGTTGTTTTCTAAATTATTGAGCCGTGACTTTTCAGTATGTTTCCAAAATCAACCCACGAAACATTTGCAAACAAGTTATATCAGACTTTTAAGACCCACAAGAGGTTCGTCAAACCAAAGCTCTCTCGAACGGATTTCGCCGTTGCCCATTATGCTGGAGAAGTATGTTTGTATATTTCTTTTTTTTTCCAGTAAAATTTTGACACAAGGAACTGTCTCACAAAGTTTCTCATGTCTCTTTTAAAATTTCTTTCAGGTTCTCTATCAGTCTGATCTGTTTCTGGACAAAAACAAGGATTATGTGATCCCTGAACACCAAGATCTGTTGGGAGCTTCCAAGTGTCCTTTTGTGGTGGGTCTGTTCCCTCCACTACCTGAAGAATCATCTAAATCTTCAAAGTTTTCATCCATTGGTTCTCGTTTTAAGGTTACGAAGAAAATATTCAAATTCTTTTTAAGGAGGAATGTCTTACTAAGATGTTCTTAAACAAGGAACTAAAACTACTATTGGCCTGATTGATGCAGCTGCAACTCCAGCAACTGATGGAAACATTAAATTCTACGGAGCCACATTACATCAGATGTGTGAAGCCTAACAATCTTCTAAAGCCTGCCATATTTGAGAATGTGAACATCATGCAGCAGCTGCGATGTGGTGTAAGTACAAATAAGATACCATTTTCATGTTATGCGACTAATGACAAGAAACTGTGTCTTAATAATAACTGTAAACGACCGTGATGTTGTGTTTACAGGGTGTTTTAGAGGCGATCAGAATTAGTTGCGCAGGGTATCCAACTCGTAAACCTTTTTTTGAGTTCATAAACCGTTTTGGACTTCTATCTACTGATGCTATAGAAGGGAAGTAAGTAAACAACAGTCAAATTTTACTGTTTTTGTGAGCGTTAAGAATCAATATTTACATTTTCTGGAAACTTTCACCCTCAACAGCTACGATGAGAAAGTCGCATCTAAAAAGATTTTGGACAATATGGGACTTAAAGGGTACCAGGTAACTGTTGTCGAGCATCTTTATATCTTATTTAGTAGTGTTCTGTAATGGATTATGGTTCAATGATGGAAGAGTTTGTAATTAACTCATATCTTTTTTGGTAATACAGATTGGTAAAACAAAGGTCTTCTTGAGGGCTGGTCAGATGGCTGAGCTCGACGCTAGAAGGGCAGAGGTTCTTAGTGGCGCAGCCAAAAAGATTCAGAGACGAATCCGAACTCATCAGGCTCAGAAACGTTTTATTGTTCTGAGAAAGGCCACTATCTCTCTCCAAGCTCTATGTAGAGGTGAATCATCTGATTTTTTCACATTAATATTTGTCACATTGTTTGACTGATTCGCTGAATACAAAAATCTCTCATTTTGTAAATATCATAGGAAGACTTTCCTGCAAACTTTTCGAGAATTTGAGACGAGAAGCTGCTGCTGTGAAGATTCAGAAGAACGGTCGGAGATATTACTCTAGAAAATCGTACAAAAAGCTCCATGTTGCTGCGCTTCTTGTACAGACTGGTCTAAGATCCATGGCTGCTCGTAAACAATTCAGATTTAGGAAGCAAACAAAGGCTGCCACAATTGTTCAGGTTTCATGTTCTTGCACGCTAAAATACAACCAAAGTCTCAAACTATCTTATTATATGATCATTAACACATAGTTTCCTGTTACTAATGGCAGGCTCAGTGGCGTTGTCACAGAGCAACCACGTACTACAAGAAGCTTAAAAATGGAGTGATCCTATCTCAGACACGATGGAGAGGCAAACTTGCTAGGAGAGAACTTAGGAAGCTCAAAATGGTAACAAATTAATACTCTCTATGTGGACTTTATGAAAAAATGTTCTCTAACATGCTAACATTTCTACTATCTTCAGGCTTCAAGGGAAACAGGAGCACTTAAAGAGGCAAAGGATATGCTTGAAAAGAAAGTGGAGGAACTCACATACCGTGTCCAGTTGGAGAAACGTCTGAGGGTATCTGCCATATAAAAAACACCTTTTTAATCGATCATTTTTTTTTTTTTGGAAGCAGATATGTAATGTGAATTGATTTCTCAGGGTGATTTAGAAGAAGTAAAGACTCAGGAGACAGCGAAACTCCAGAGTTCGTTGGAGGAAATGCGGAAGAAAGTGGATGAAACAAATGCATTGCTTGTGAAGGAACGAGAAGCTGCAAAGAAAGCCGCTGAAGAAGCTCCTCCTGTTATCAAAGAAACGCAAGTTTTAGTTGAAGATACGAAGAAGATTGAACTGATGACAGAGGAACTGGAGAGTGTAAAGGTACTTTCTCTCAGTGGCTATCAAATTCAGTTGTCTGATAGATCAATTCCATTCACTGTTGTTTACATATGACTCTACTTAGCATCATGAGTAATCATTTAACGTTCCTACAGGCTACTCTAGAAAACGAGAAACAAAGAGCTGATGATGCAGTAAGGAAATTCGAAGATGCTCAAGAGTCTCTTGAAGACAGAAGGAAAAAACTGGACGAGACAGAGAAGAAAAGTCAACAACTCCAAGAATCCCTCACAAGGTAAAAGAATACATCATCCTGTAGTTTCATTTGTCCGATCATGAGCTGAAACTTGAGGTTAATGTGATCAGGATGGAGGAAAAGTGCAACAACTTGGAATCGGAGAACAAAGTCTTAAGGCAACAGGCTGTGTCCATGGCACCTAATAAGTTTCTCTCTGGCCGCTCTCGCTCCATTTTACAGGTAAATTTGAAATATGAGATCCCCAAGTATCTTTTTGTAGCTTGCTTGAAGTTGACGAATGACCATCTGTTCAAATAAAAACAGAGAGGTTCAGAGAGTGGTCATCTAGCAGTGGATACGAGGGCGAGTTTGGTGAGTACATATGCCACCAACCAGTTCAGTTTCTGTCTCAATCTTTAGCTTTCGGGATTAATATGATGGCTTTTAATGTTGACCAGGATCTGCATAGCCATTCGATGAACCATAGGGATCCCTCGGAAGTGGAGGATAAGCCACAGAAAACATTAAACGAGAAGCAGCAAGAAAACCAAGAGCTGCTTATCCGCTGCATCGTTCAACACTTGGGCTTCCAAGGGAACAGGCCTATCACAGCTTGCATCATTTACAAGTGCCTGCTGCAATGGAGGTCATTTGAAGTCGAAAGAACTAGTGTCTTTGATCGCATTATTCAGACAATAGGCCATGCTATTGAGGTTCGGATTTGAGCTATTGCAAGTGTGTGTTTGGAATGATAAATAGATTAACTAATGTTTTGAAAGTTGATCTCTCAGACTCAAGATAACAACAATACATTGGCGTATTGGTTATCCAACGCCTCGACGCTCCTCTTACTCCTCCAGCGCACACTGAAAGCCAGTGGTGCAGCTGGGATGGCTCCACAGCGCCGCCGTTCATCTTCTGCCACTCTATTTGGGAGGATGACTCAGGTATATTTGTATACATATACACATATGGTTTGGGATGTGAAACTGTCTCTCTTTCTCTTGATTTTCTTGAGACATGTTTGCTGTTAGAGCTTCCGTGGAGCACCACAAGGTGTGAATCTTGCCATGATAAACGGTGCTGCGGGAGGCGGAGCGGATACCTTGAGGCAAGTTGAAGCGAAATATCCGGCTCTACTGTTTAAGCAGCAGCTCACAGCTTATGTTGAAAAGATATACGGAATGATTCGGGATAACTTGAAGAAGGAGATTTCTCCACTCCTTGGATTGTGCATTCAGGTATCGTATTCCATTACATCAGCCACCACCAGCGAAACAACAAGGTCCTTCTCGCTAACTGTGTGTGTGTGTGTTCGTCTTGTCTTCTACACTTCAAACAGGCGCCAAGAACATCGAGGGCGAGTTTAGTGAAAGGAGCATCTCGTTCCGTGGCCAACACTGCAGCTCAGCAAGCACTCATCGCCCACTGGCAAGGAATTGTGAAGAGCCTTACGAATTTCCTCAACACTCTCAAATCAAACAATGTGAGTTCCTTAATTCGGGTTTCCTCAGTAAATAAGAAACAAAACATGTGTTGTTGTGATCAGTTTGAAACTTGTATGAATGCTTTATTAGGTTCCTTCATTCTTGGTGCGTAAGGTGTTTACACAGATATTCTCATTCATCAATGTTCAACTGTTTAACAGGTTTTTTTATATTCCCTGGCCCTATTAATCTCTAGTCTCAAACATTTTTGTATCTTGTACTAACCAATGTTGTCACCAACCAACAGCCTTTTGTTGAGACGCGAGTGTTGTTCATTTAGCAATGGCGAGTACGTCAAAGCTGGCTTGTCTGAATTGGAACACTGGTGTTTTAAGGCAACGGATGAGGTAATTAGCTTTTTTTAATTAATTACTTAACACAAAACTAAACCAGTTTTAACTAACAAACAACAATTTCAGTATGCGGGTTCGTCGTGGGATGAGCTTAAGCATATAAGACAGGCCATTGGGTTTCTGGTAAAACTTTCATTATCCTCGCTACCTAAACCTTAAGGAGAGCATCCCATGGTTACTAATCCATTCTTGCTCAAAAAATGCAGGTCATACACCAAAAACCAAAGAAAACTCTCGATGAGATCAGTCATGATCTTTGCCCGGTAATTGATACAACTCTCCTATATATATATTCCACAGTTGCCAAAACGAATCAGGCAGGAATGTTGTAGTATAATGAAATTTGGTGGGCAGGTACTGAGCATACAACAGCTATACAGGATCAGTACGATGTACTGGGACGACAAATACGGCACGCACAGCGTCTCTGGAGACGTAAGTCACCTTAAGCAACTGATGTGTGATGATTATATCCTTAATTTGCTTATAAACCAATATATATATATCTCTCTCTCTACGAATATATACAGGTGATAACAAATATGAGGGTGCTAATGACAGAAGATTCGAACAATGCTGTTAGCAACTCCTTCCTTTTGGATGACGACTCAAGGTTTACTACTTCTACTAATGCCAACATCGTTTTGTTTTGGGCACTTTTCTAATTTCTTTTTTACAAAATGATGATTGTTGCAGCATCCCTTTCTCTGTTGATGATTTATCAAAGTCGATGGAGAGATTTGACATTGCTGATATCGAACCGCCACCACTAATCCGGGAGAATTCTGGGTTTAGCTTCTTATTGCCAGTCTCTGATTGATCCCTTGTCTCTCTCTCTTCCGGATATCAAATTTAGTTCTAGTGTCGTCTTTCTCCTTTTACCAAAAAGTAGATTGCTTTTGAGGCAAGTAATAATAACTTTGTATGCCCTTTATATTCCTTCCTCGCTTATTACTGTATTATTTTTTCCCAAGGAGAAACGAGATTTATATTTCTTCCGTTATTCGTTATTATGTCTTTATGGTTAAGCTTTTGGATTTTTAACACTTCCAATTTTATCAAAAAAATCCAATATCAAATGAAATATTTCACAATTACTTTGAATCATTACTTTCACAATTACTGTTTTGTTAAAATGAAATCTCCGCGGCCAGCACCATAACCCAAAATTTTGACTTAGATTTAAAAATAATACACAAATGTCTTAAATTAATTGTTAAAGTTTAATACTGTAGATAGGAGGACACAGGATTTAATTCCTCTTTTCTTTTCCGTTTCCTTCCACGCCTCCCTGTCCCACCGCCGGCAAGCTGACTTTTGACGGTGGTTTTCATCGGCGACGCCGATTTCTCTCTCTTTTCAGTGCTCGTAATAGATCTTCGTGATATACGTATCAGTCATCTGATAGTTAGATTCAGAAAAACCCAATCATCGATTTCAATTCCTTTTCCAGATTTTCTTCCTTAAAATGAAGATTCTTCTTCTCGTAATGCTTCTCTGCTACTCCTTCGCCTTCTCTTCCGGAGATACGACTATTCACACCAACAATTGGGCTGTCTTGGTCTGCACCTCTCGCTTCTGGTAAATTCCCCAATCCTCTCGATTTGTGTACCTAGTTTGCGTTCGGGTAATGTATACATCTTTCGTTTCTCCATGTCAATTCAATGTACTTCTTCTGATTAGTGACTCACAATGAACCTGAATTTCACTAATGGCGATAGATTTGGAGATCACATTGAGAGAGTTTGCTTGATTGTATATTTCTATCTTTCTCAAGTTACAGGTCTCGTCTAGTTTAACCTATTGCTCTGGCTGCTGTTTCTCAGGTTCAACTACCGGCACATGGCCAATACACTGTCCCTGTATAGGTGAAAGCTCAGTTTTTTTTTCACGGAGGTACTTCTCTTCACAGTTTTTGCTTCTTACGCCATATTCTCTGTACTTGGTGTTTCTAGGACAGTCAAGAGACTTGGAATACCAGACGAAAGGATCATTCTGATGCTGGCTGATGATATGGCCTGTAATGCCAGAAATGAATATCCTGCTCAAGTTTTTAACAATGAAAACCACAAACTTAACCTCTACGGAGATAACGTTGAGGTAGATTCCTTAATTCTCCAAGGGTTTAGCACACAATGAACTCCTCATGTACTAGTGAATGCTTGTTTCCAGGAGAAGGGCTGATTTGTTTAAAGTCATTTTCACTCAGGTAGATTATCGTGGGTATGAGGTAACAGTCGAAAATTTCTTGCGGGTTTTGACTGGGCGTCATGAGAATGCTGTTCCAAGGTCAAAGCGTCTCCTCAGTGATGAGGGTAGCCACATTCTACTCTACATGACCGGGCATGGAGGTGATGAATTTCTCAAGTTTCAGGATGCGGAAGAGCTCCAGAGTCACGATTTAGCAGATGCTGTCAAACAAATGAAAGAGAAGCGCAGGTATGTGACTATATTTCTTTTGCATTCATTCCTTCACTGCTTTTGATCTGTCTTTTGAAAATCTGGCTTTTCCATGGGCCATTTCTTGGTGGAACAAACATTTATTCATTTTTCGTTTCATCTTTATTCTGTTTTAACAATCTAGTGACATTATTTGGCTAGCCCAGATTCAAGGAGCTGATGATAATGGTTGATACTTGCCAAGCTGCCACTCTCTTTAACCAGGTACACCTTTCTTAGTGTCACTTTTTTCAGAGTTAATTTCGTCTCTATATTTAAAAAAAAACGTTCTTGCAAGCCTAAACTTTAGTTTTGCTCTGCCTTTTGGAGTTAATATCTTGATATCCATTGTATCTTTACGGCTTATGCCTGGAGCTTGTTCTTAGCAGTTACTCTAGTTGATTTTTTACAATATGCGAAAACTGACATCAAAATCTATCATTTGGATTTTTATCTTCCCTTTTTAAAATTTTGTGAAACAATTGTTTTCGTAGCTTCAATCACCTGGTGTTTTGGCTATTGGTAGCAGTCTTAAAGGAGAAAACTCATATTCTCATCACCTGGACTCAGACGTAAGTGCTCTTTACTATTTCATGAATGGAATGTACATTACGGTATTAAGGGGGTAATTGTTCAAACAAAAACATTATATTGTTTGGGAATTGTTTCTTCTTTTTTATCATTGCGTTCATATCCAGGTCTAATATTGTTTTTGCTTCAGATTGGTGTGTCTGTTGTAGATCGGTTTACATATTACACGCTTGCGTTCTTTGAGAGGCTCGATATCTATGACAATGCATCACTTAACAGGTACGATAATTATGCAACTCTTGTCACCAACATCCTGCTATAATATTTGGTCATCATTTGGTATTTTTCTTGTGTACTAGTTGTAATATTTTAACGAGTTGTACGCGTCTATGTATGTGGTACCTCTGACATTTAGTGATCATTGTTAAAACTGATACGCCTTTTAAAGCTGAAATCTCTGAGCTACGAACATCCGTTCACCTGCTGTTGTGCAGTTTGTTTAGGTCCTACGATCCGAGACAGCTAATGTCTACTGCCTATTACCGTACGGATCTTTACCAGCCACATCTGGCAGAGGTAAGGAGAAAATGATTTTGCAATGTCTCATTTTTAATTTTATCATCAGCTTAAAATATTTTTTTGTTGTGGCCAAATAAGACTAAGTAACCTCACTACCTCAGTCTTAGTTGCTTGTTCTATAGGAGCTGAATAGTGTAGTTTTGTTCATAAGTTCACCATTACATTGTCAGGGAAACGATATTGATTTAGATGAAAAATTTGCACCTTCTAGATACTTTTTTTCCTCTCCGTTTTCTGATGAAGTATGTCTGTCTTGAGATGATTAAATACTCATTCTTCAAGTTTACTTATTATGGGAATTAGGTACCGGTCACAAATTTCTTTGGTTCAGTTATGGAGACAATTCATACTGATTCAGCTTACGAAGCCTTCTCAAGTAGAATCTCCAATAGTAAGATCAATGCCGACATGCCACTCGATCAACATCCCGAGCACGATCTGAAAGAAAATCTTCAGAATGCAAACAACCCAAACGATGATTTGAAAAACGAGGTTACTGTCTATATTTGCTAACCTGGTTTTATCATAAGTAGGCTTGCAAAAGATCCAAACTTTGGATTGACTGCTTACATATAGGAAATATTAGAACTGAATTGAGATCCCTGTGATATGTTTGTTGTTGCAGAAGCAAAAATGCCCATATACACAAATGCGGGCAGACCTCCAGGAGAAACTGGAGAAGCTTGAAAATGTCGATACAATGGTTAACCTCAGCATAGCGGTGATGGTTCTCGTTGTAATTGTGTCATCATCCTTGTTATGATGATGAAGCAGCTCTTAATATATGGGCATTTTTGTAATGGTGTCATCATCTTCGTCATCATCTCCACTTGACTTAATCTCTGTTGTATGATCAATTATCATCACTTTTGCCAGCTTCACAATCCATGTAGTACTTTTTTCACAATGCTTTTACCAAGAAAATATCGACCCCATATATATGCTCAAGCTCAACTTCAAAAATTAAGGTTACAAATGATAGCCACATGTCGAGGTGTCAATTGGTCTGTCCAAGCCCAGCCCAGTTGGGCGTGTCCATGTGGACATTTTTTAATTATGGGCTTTCATTGGTTAGTCCATCTGGACAATGGTCTAAATATTGACTATGCCCAATAAAGACTAAGTCCAGATGGGCATGCATGATCCACACTAACCTGCCCAGAAATGACAGCGGGTCATGTCGTCCAAGCCCAGTTGGGCATTTTTAGTGTTGGGCTTGTCTATGGACAGACCATCAAATTAACTGGGCTTCGACCATGGTCGGCCCACATGTGACTAGTACTTACGTCAGTGTAATTCTTACCTGTTAACTTATAAGTCAATACACCACCATATGATAGAATCATGAAGTCATTAAGAAAAACTCTAATTTTATTGGGTTAATCCCATCTAACACTTTACAGTAACACCTTCCTGAAACTCTAATTTCCTGCAAAAGTTTCATTTAATTAATAATTACTTGCGTTTTTGAAACATTTACAACGGTCCATTTATTTTTCCACAAACTTGGGAATATGTAAAAATGAATAAATTACACATAGAAAAAACATTATGCATTTATTGTAAGAATAGGTTTTTTATTGACTTAAGCCACAACGCAACAAATGAATCTCTCGCCATCTTTTTCTCATCTCCTGAATCTGAGTCTGACCCTCTACTTGCTTCTTTTATTGCTCTCATTCCTAAACAGAGAGAGAGTGTGTGTGTACAACAAGACACAACAGTATCCCATTATTTTCACATTCCTCTTGCTTCGCAAAACCTACCTGTACTTTCTCTCACTCATTTCTTCCTTTTGTTTTATTTTATTTTATTTTAATCATCTCTCTCTCTCTCTCTTCTGCTTTGTATCTTCTCCGAGGCCATAATATTAATTAGTTGTCTCTCTGCGTTTGCAATTTGTAATCAATTATCTGGGGATTCTCGTTGGAATCCACATACAATACCACCTAATCGCTTCTCCGAGATCTAGCGTCTTCTCGAGTGGTTAGATCCGTCGGTGATGCGCTTCGGAGATGGCGAATCTAGTGCCTGGTGTTCTGCTCAAGCTTCTCCAGCACATGAACACCGACGTCAAAATCGCCGGAGAACACAGGTCCTCTCTCTTACAAGTCGTCAGCATCGTCCCCGCCTTGGCCGGAGGGGAGCTTTTCCCTAACCAGGGCTTCTATCTCAAAGTCTCCGATTCCTCTCACGCCACTTATGTCTCTCTCCCTGATGAGCACGATGATTTGATTCTCAGCGACAAGCTCCAATTAGGTCAGTTTATCCATGTCGATAGGGTCGAATCCTCCTCCCCTGTCCCGATTCTCCGCGGCGTCAGGCCCGTTCCCGGTAGGCATCCTTGTCTTGGCACTCCTGAAGATATCGTAGCTACTCACGCACTAGGGTTCCTCAGTGATGACAAGGTCAGTGATAATGGTCTTGCTGCTGCTGCTAATTGCAATGGCTCGAAACCGAAAGAGAGAGCTAAGGCAACAAGTGCCAAAGGAGGAGTGGTTCCTAATGAGGCCGAGAGACCACTGGGAAACAGACTGAGCGTTAGCACTTCTAGGGATGAATCTTCTGAGGGTAAGAAGCCGTCTGCTCTGTTCCGAGCCAAGTCTGCTAAATCGAGCTTGGTTTTGGATGTGAGGAAAGAATCATTGGGGAAGTTGAAGACTTGTTCGGGTTCCAAGTCAATCCCTTCTTCCCCGACGAGCTGTTATTCGCTGCCTAACTCTTTTGCAAAGTTTGCAAATGGGATTAAGGAGCAACAGCAGGTGAAGCCGAAGCTGTTGGAGAAAGGTTCTCCTAGGATGGGATTGTCTGACAAGGGGAGGTCTCTGATCAAACCGGAGAGCCCGAATGTCGGGAAAAAGCTTCCCATGATTAAGAATTTCGTGCAGGGGATTGAGTTTGGAGCTAAGGCGTTGAGGAAAAGCTGGGAAGGGAATTTAGATATTAGGAGTTCGGATAGCACCAGAATGAAGCTTGCCAAACGCGATTCGACCCCTGATGCCCGGAGTTTAACAGTAAGCTCTTTTTAGCTCTTCTATTGCAAAGTTGCATGTGGACAGTTTCGTTCAAATGACTTTCTCCATTTGTTTGAGAGCATTGTTAAATTGCTTACATTCCTCTCACTATCTGCAGAATCTTGGTTTGTGTCATACTTTCGTTTGTTTTCCTATCAGTCTCTGTGTTGTAAACTCATGAAATGTTATTAGTGTTACTCTTTTTTCAGTTTTCTAAGTATAGCTTGTATAACTTTTGGTTTCTAGGCTCCGCGGAAAAGCACATCAAGTGAGAAGTTGCCAAGCAAACAGGAGAGGGCTAATGTATTTGCAAAATCATTCAAGGATCACAATAAGATTCAGTCAACCAAGAAAGTCGAGACGGCCGGAATATCAGACACCAAAGATAAAACGAGTAAACCTAAATCTACGTCCATCGAGAAGAAATCTACTGCAGAGAATGGGTTGCCTGGGAACTTGGTCAAAGTCCCTGTCAATGGTAAAAGATTAGCGGCTGCCAATATCCAATGGGGTTCACTCCCTTCATCTCTTTCGAGGCTAGGACAGGTATGTGCTTGACTATTCGTGGATCCTCATATCATATGTGCTTGCCTCATGATTAGGCTTTGAAACTTTCTAGACTTGTAGTGATTAGGAAAATTTATCTCCAAAACGAGCAGTTTATAGATTTGTTCATCCAAATTCCTCTATAAGGCAAATTCTGGATGTAGAGGATGTACATATTTCGTATCTGTTTGGCTTTTCTTACTTGAACCATCTCCAATCTAATATACGTACTCCAGGGATATATAACATATGCATCTTATGTTTTAGTCTTTGGCTGATCGTAATTAAAAATTGAAGATAGCTTATTGGCTCAGTGCTGATGTCAATATTTGCAGGAAGTCTTGAGGCATAGGGATGCTGCTCAAGTTGTTGCGATAGAGGCCATGCAAGAAGCCTCTGCTTCCGAGAGCTTACTTCAGTGCCTCATGTGCGTAATCTCTATCAAGAGTTATTCAATGGAAATCTCTCGGGACTTGGATTATTGAGGGTCTCTGAATGTAATTGTTACTCCCTTGGTTGTTTCTAACCTGTATTCTGCTTTACCGTTTTGTAGGATGTACAATGATCTTATGTCAACGGCGAAGGAAGATGATCCATTGCCAGTCGTCGAGCAGTTCTTGAAGCTTCATTCCGGTTTGAAGAACGTTCAGATTATAACCGAGTCATTGTCCAGATTACTTTCCTTGACATCTTCCCCGGAAAATGAAGAAACCAGATCTGAGGAAGCAGTAAAAGCGGCATCGGAAAAGCAGAAATTGGCAGCCTCGTGGGTCCAAGCAGCTTTAGTTACTAATTTATCGGCATTCTCTGTATATTCCAGCAAACCAGCCAAATCAGCTGCCTCCAGGAGCAAACCCTTGGTCATACTCGAGAACCCGGGTAATAACTCCACCGGTAAACCCCGTGGGAATGTCCCAAACCGGCCAACGGTTGGATCAAAACTCGTGGCACAGGGCATGATCCGTAAAAACAGGGAGAACAGTAGCAGCCAAAAGGCGACCACGGTAGCAGGATCAGAGTCTCCGCCGCTAAACTGGGTGAAAGGGAGTGGTCTGAACGAGGCAACTGATCTGGCGGAGAAGCTGCAAACGGTATCTCAAGATTGGTTTCTGCGTTTCGTGGAAAGGTTCTTGGACGCAGACGTGTTGGAGACATCTTCGAATCTGAATCTGTCTGATAACGGGCAGATCGCGGGGATGCTGTCGCAGCTGAAGAGTGTGAATGATTGGTTAGACGAGATTGGGTCGAAAGAGGATGGAGAAGGATTGCAAGAAGTCTCAAAGGAAACAATCGATCGATTACGGAAGAAGATATACGAGTATCTTCTCACACATGTGGAGTCCGCAGCTGCAGCACTTGGTGGTGGTGGTGGTGGTGGTGGTGGCTCGGTCTCTTCTCCGAGACTTAAACCAATCGAAACCAAAGCAAAGAGATAAATGATTAAAGTTTTTTACTTGTTTTTTGTATATATGAAAATTGGCGGTCAAGTTCTTCTGTATTATCCCGACAAGCATACCGACATGAAATGTTGGTATTTTTATTCAGCCAGGCACTCGGTAAAGAGAGCCTCCCCTGGTTCGAAAGATTTCAATATATTTTTTTTATCAATTTGAGAGGATTGTCGTTTTTAAGGCGTTTTGAGTTTGGAAATTGTATGTTTGAGAAAAGAAGATAAAAAGAGTATATAAAGATATTCTTTGTGGCTTTTGTAATTAATAAAAATTACAAGGTCCCAAAAAGAAAATTAACTTAGAACAAAGCCCCTTGCATTTGTAGACTTTTTCAAAATCCAAGGGTTAGTCATCTGAAACAGATCTGTGAATCTCTCCACACCAAATGAATCAAAAACCTCCGCCGTACGGTTATGGCACCGGTGGTGGAGGACCTCCTTCCTCATCCAACACGATCGTCGGGACGTTGAGCGCTCGCGCCATACAGACGACGCACTCGATGATCACGACGCTCCGTCCATGGCGGGAGCTTCTAGATCTGTCGGCGCTCTCTCTCCCTCACAAATACGACGAGGCCATGGCGCACCTAAGGCAGAACCTCTCTTATTTCCGCGCAAACTACGCTCTCGCCGTGCTCGCCATCGTTTTCCTCGGCCTGGTTTACCACCCGACCTCTATGGTCGCCTTCATCGTCGTCTTCATCGGCTGGATTCTCCTCTATTTCTCGCGAGACGCCAACGACCCGATTGTGATTTCGGGGAGACAAGTGGATGACCGGATCGTCCTGGGTTTACTCAGCTTGGTAACGATTTTGGCGTTGGTGTATACAGATGTGGGCGAAAACGTTCTGGTTTCGCTGATCGTTGGTTCGCTCACCGTCGGAGCTCACGCCGCTCTCCGTAGTACCGATGATTTGTTTCTTGATGAAGAAACTGCTCGCCAGGGTGGGCTCGTATCCGCCGCTGAAGGAAACCGGCCACCGTCAAGTTATACCCCAATTTGAGTTACCGGTGATCACATTTCTTTGGTTTTGGCTTGAAGCTCAGGAAAATTCGGCTTGTTTTTGGAAATTCCCAAAGATCATTGTATCGTATATGCGTGTGTTGTATCAATTCTGGGAAAATTTGGTGTTGTAAAAGTCAGATTGGATTGTTTTACATTCAACATTTTCACGTCTGAGACTGGCTACAAAGGTGGGCAAATAAACCGCAACCAAAAAAATCGAGCCGAACCAAAATTTATTTATAAACCATTTGGTTTAATCAGTTAAGAATCTGGAAAACCAAAACTGAAACCGAGCGGAACCATAATTTAATCAAAATTGAACCAAACCAGATACTGTATATGGGATTTCAATAAAACCTGCGGTCATGATTTATGGATTTAACCAGATGAAATTTCCATAGCAGAGAAGGAAACCAATATCTTCTGAATCTCCTGGTGGACACTCGAAAGAAACACACACAAAGTTGGATCATGTAAGAATTTTAATCTTCTTCAAGATTGATAGAATCCTTGAACTTGGCATACAAAAGCTTCTTCAGCGCTGCCATTTGAGAGACAATCGAGGCCTTCTCTTGCTCGAGCTTTGCAAGGCCTTCGCAGGTCGCCTCTTTCATCTCTTCTATCCTTGTTTCCACCTCATCCCTCGGCAAATGCGCAAACACTTCTCCGATTTGAAACCGCACCATCTCCTCATCAGCTAGGATCAACTCGTTCCCTGCGTCCTCTAGATTCTCACACTTTTCCTGCATAGTCACAAATTTTCCCATCAAAGAAAGTTTCCACAACGTATCGCAAAGGCCCACATCTCTTTTGTGCCATGATGACATGACATACAAAGATCTTGCACCACTCCTAGACAAGGAACTCATGAACCCCCAAAAACAGGGAAGATAGAAGAAACCAATTGTTGCTCAACTGTCAGCACAATTAAAACACCTAATTACAATGATCTTTACTTATAGAGCCTCCAAGTCATATTAATGTATATTCACCAACATTTGCAAAGCTTTCACAGTTTAAACCAATCGATATGATTAAACCAGGAGTGTCATGCACCAGACCAACACTGAATCATACTCCCAGGAACATTGTAATTAGCTTTGTAATGGATAGTAGCTGTCATCAACAATGGGCGAATCAGTTAGCTGAGAGCAAAGCAGCTAAACGAAATTGGGTCAAAAATTAATATGAGGACTAACCAAACTCCCTCTCTCTCTCTCTCTCTCTCAAAAGAGTTCACAGCGGTTTGGATCTTATCTCAGTAATTCCACCACCTAACCGATGCCGAGCGAATTGAACATATTCTAATGGTAAAACCCTAGAAGCGCCAAGGCCGAAGCGTAAACAAAATCAAAAGCCCAAATCAATGAAATAACAAGAAGATGAGAACCTTGGAGAATTTGATTTCGTCTTCGAGCTCATGGAGTCTGTTGTTGAAACGGCTGAAGGTATTAATGTTCTGCTGGTCCTCCCAGGTGACCTCCATCTCAGATCCACTACTTTTTCCCTGCGCATATACCATTCACACGATTAGCATACATATAATTCAGGATCCAACCAAAAATTGCGCATAAGAGATTTTTCTTTACTTGCTGCTGCATTTCGCTTCTCACGGCCAAGGTAACAAAACTGAGAAGTTCTTTTTTTTTGGGACAAAACTGAGAGAAGGGTCAAAAATCTTATGTGAGCGAATAATAATTGTAGCAGGGAGAGACTGTGCCTTTTTTACTCTTTTTTTTTTTTCCAATACTTGTTTTAGATCATTTTATCAGTTAAAAAAATATATATATATATCTTTTGTCAGTTACAGTAAAATAATCTGATATTTTGAAAAATATATTTTTTCAAACTATACTAATTCTATATACAACTATTTAAAAATTATAAGCACTATAAACGAACCACCATATTCATCATGAAATGTCAAATGCCTATTTTACTGATAAAATTGTATTAAAAAAAACCCATAAATATGGTTATTTAGTGCTATGTATTACTCTAAAATTAATAACTATGTAAGTATGTATTTACCCAACAGAAAGCCTATTAGTTATATTGGTTTTTCTTGTTTACAGGAACAATAAAAAAGGTTTGTAGAAAATATAGAAACGTTGAAAGGAATGGCAAACCTAAATCAAGAAAGAATTGGTTAATTCCAACAGAAACCATGATAGGTTTGTTTTTGGATTCTCTCAAGAATAAAACAGTCCAGAATCTCCCCAGGCAATTAACAAAGGGAAACCCCAATTAAAATGGCAAAAGAAAACTCCAAAACCAAACTTTTAAACAATACAAAATGTGCGGTAGAAACTGCAAGAACTTCCTTTTACTTCCTCCTGTGTTTCTAATACTCTACCATTAATGCTCACCAGAAACCTTTTCTCTTCTGTACATACATTAACTAAACAAAACAGAAAAAAAAAACTTCTTCGCCCTTATTTGCTTCCTAGAATATGAGATCTTCTTCACTAATCCTTTGAATCAATCTCCTTCTCCATCATTCTCCATTTATATTTTGTGCCGGCCGCGTTTTATCTCTCCGCGGCCAGCACCATAAACCAAAACCCTAAGAGAGATTAAAAGCATTTTCACAACTTCGTTTGTGTATTCAAGGGAGTTGTTTGTTTTATCCTTGTGATTTCTCGCAGACTTGTACAAAAAGGCACAAGTGCTACATGACCTAACTTGTACAAGAAAGCAAAAATCCCAACTGATTTAACTTCTCGTGGTATATAATCACAAACGTGCCTGATATTTCTAGATATATATTAACAACAGCGAAAAATGGTGAGGGTTGGTGAAGCATTGAGCGTATCGACCTCGTCGTCTTCATCGCTCTACGACAGCGAAGCAGAAGAGCTTCAAAAAATGTCACTGGAACCACCGAGAGTTAAGGCCAAGAAACGTCTCTCAAAGCAGCTCTCAATGCTGGAGACTCGAAGAGACATCGCATGGGAGCGTCGCCGTCGCCAGATGGTCCATCACATCGAGAGTAAGCAAATAAACGAAGGAGGAGAAGACTTAACGGACGAGGACTTGAGTGAGCTCAAAGGCTCTATTGAGTTAGGGTTTGGGTTTAACGAGGAGGAAGGGCAACAACTTACAACTACATTGCCTGCATTGGACCTTTACTTCGCCGTGACCCGACAGGTCTCGCCGGTTTCTACGCCAGGGAGCGGTGGATCTTCATCCTCCCGACCAACTTCCCTTGGAGACCGATCCTCCTCTTTTGGTAGTCCGATGAGCGACTCCGATGGCTTGAAACTTATGTCTCCAGGTAACTATTTTTTTCATGTTTTCACACGTTTTAAACGCATTTCTGTTATTTACCATTTATCATTTTTCGTCATATATTTATCTCTGATCTCCGTATTGCATTTTCAGGAGACAGTCCCCAACAGGTTAAAATGAGGCTGAGGCATTGGGCACAAGCTGTGGCATGTTCTGTGATACAATCTTACAATTAAGTGACGAGTGAGCGATGGATTTGTAGAGAGTTCAAGATGAATGAGATTACACAAATTGGGTTGATGCGAAGGAAGGTTGTGGAAATGAAGGGAGCTTAAGAGAGATTTAATTAAGGAGGTAATTAAGGCAGAGAATGGCGAATTATTGAAGTTTCAAACTATAAAAAAAAAAAATGAGAAAGATGCTTGAAGGTCTTGCATGTTATTCAGTCTTATTCTCGAACTTTTATTTTCACCAAAGACAATTTCGAAATTAGGTTTTTGCTTCTCTTCCTTTTTCCATCTTCCATCTTCCCTCTTCTTCTTTTTTCTTTTTTGTGTGTTTTCCCCTTATTAATTATCTTTAGTAAATGTGTCCTCTATCAAACTTCTTCTATATTGTCTAAGTGAGATAGACTTTTTTTAATCCAGATGAATGAGAAATGTCTTAATCCAAAACAGCAATTAAAATGTCCATGCAAAATCATGAGTTTTTTTTTCCAAAGTGTACAGAAAAGTCGACGTTCTTCTTTATTTAACATTTTTTTACTAAAACCAACAAATGAATGTGAGTTTAACAAAGTATTTCCTAAAACCGAGAAATGTACAATACAACAGCAAGCTTAGCAAAGTTGCATGACTTTTGACATGCTATACAAAAGTATCAATCTAACTAATAAAAAAATATCAGATGAGAACTTCAGCACAAACCCACATCCACCCTTCACTCAAATTCTAGAAAAAAAAAAAATATTTAGAAAATGCAAAACAAAACCAAAGAAAGTGAAAAACCCACAAGTGAATTATGAACACACCAAACCCCAAAAATATGAATCATTTCTGAAAGTTGCAAAAAATTCTGAGACTATCGTTGTATACGAAAGTGGAAATGGCCATGAAGAAGATGCTGTACAGTTTCCTTAAAAAAACACCACCCTTGACTTCTCTTTTAGATTCCTCTGCAATATCTTCTCCACAAAGTTATCTAACATCAAAACAGAACGGCATATGATGACGAACTAGAAATATGTACATTTCTGGCCATAACAGAGATTGAAAACCCTAGTCAACACAACAATCAGAGAAGCAGAGAGGACATACATTTGTGAAGGTTGTTACAGAGGATCAACTCTCTGTATGATCTTGTCTTCTCATGGTAAGACTTCGCAGATTTTGCAAATGAGAAGCTATTTCCTTGACAAATTCCACGCCTTCATTCCCGTGCCCGAGAGAATTCACAACATGTTCTAGGAAATACAAGTCTCCCTTCAGATTTTCTACTCTCTCATGTAGCTCAGAAACAGATTCTTGTGTCTGTAGGTTATCGACATCTGTTTGAGCTCTGTTTTCAATCTTTTCCAAACAACTTGTTATGTACAATCTCTCTTCGTCGAACCCCATTAAACAATTCTGCATCTTTCTAGGGGAATCAACATCGGTCACATTTTCTAGCTGCTTCTTCTTCTGCGGGGTCTGGTCCCTGAAGTAATCAATCTCAGCCTCTAAATCTTGAATTAGTTTCTCTCTCTCGACAAGTAAATCATTCAGTTTCTGTATTGCTTCCATATCATACTCTGCTTGCTCTTCCATCATCCTAAGGTTCTGCAAAGCTTCCATTTGGAACAGCGCCTTCTCTTCCTGCAACCTCGTAATCATGGCCATCGCTTGGTTTGTAGCAACCGCTGAAGCGCTTCTTTCTTCCTCCAACTCTTTGTATAAACCAGTCAGCAGTTTCCTGTCGTAATCGACCTGTCTTTTCAACCGATCACTCTCGCTTTCTCCCTCGATTTCGCCCACAGAAACTCCTTCCAAGGACAAGTTGCTCTCGTTCCTTTCGAGCATCCTCTTTTGAATTAGCAACTGCATATCATGATCTAGGTCCTTTATCTCCTGATCACTAGATATCTTGGGGCTTACATCTCTAGGCGACAAAAACTCTATCCCACGAGAAGCTGATATCTGAGTAAGAAGTGCTTTAAGGTCTTCGCTAACTCTAGAAGTATCTTTCTTCATCCATTGCTCTATATGTGATCCTCCGTCGCTGTCCTTGTTAGCCTCATTGTGTACAATGATATTGTATGCATCCGCAAGATCCAGCAACTCACCTCCTTGCATCCAAGACTCACCTGAATCAAGGTTTGTTTCCGCTGCCACAGACATTGAGTTGAAAGAAGAAGATTCTGACTCAAGAGCAGCTTCTGAGTGAGACGCCATTTCAGACACAGAAGAGACCGTAAGAGATGTCTCTTTCATTCCCCTGTTTTCTGATACACCTGATATGAAATTGCATTTACTTCATCAGAGACCCCACCATATAGGCATATAACTATTAAATTCCCATTATTTCACAATAATTTGAAACCTGCACAAGTAAAGCTGGAGAGAAAACTTACAGTTTTCGGTTAAATCTTCAGGCATGGATTTTGTAGATTTTGAAGGTGATACAACTACATATTCAGATTCCAGGGAAGTTATATCAGCTTGGTTTGTGTCCATCTCCTTCGACGTCTCAACAGGGGTTTCATTTGTAGTGGATGATTCAGGAATCTCGCCTAGAGATATATCATGGAGGGGAATAAGTTCAATTCCCTTTGAGACATCTTTAGGAATTTCAGCAGCATCTGATGATGTTGAAGTAACATCATTGAGGCAACTAAACTCAGTCTCTTCCATCAAGGCATCTGCAGGATTTTGCTTAAAATCTGGAGTTAAAGAAGTATCTTGGAGGTGAATTAGATCTTCTTTCTCCTTTAAAATAGTCTCCTCCATTAAAACATCTACAGGAGTTTCAGCAGCATCAACTGGTGTTGAAGTAACATCTTTGAGGCAAATAAGCTCAGTCTCTTCCATCAAAGCCTCCGCAGAATTTTTCATAAAATCTGGTGTTAAAGAATCATCTTGGAGGTGAAGCAGCTCTTCTTTTCCCTGTAAAATAGTCTTCCCCATTAAGAGATCTTCAGGAATTTCATCTGCAACTGATGTTGAAATAACATCTTTGAGGCAAATAAGCCCAGTCTCCTCCATTAGGGCATTTTCAGGATTTTCCTTGAAATCTGGTGTTAAAGAAATATCTTGGAGGTGGTTCAGATCTTCATTCTCCTTTAAAACAGCTGCAGAATGCTCCATGGCACGTGAAGTTAAGAAAAAATTATCCAATGAAATGATCTCTTCTTCCTTAAACACCTTCTCCTCCGATGTTTCAAGCACAGCATTAACTGGAATAAGCTCATCAGTCTCCTCCATTAAGGCATCTGCAGGATTTTCCTTAATATCTGCTGTTAAAGAAACATCTTGGAAGAAAATCAGCTCTTCTTTCTCTTTTAAAACAACTGCAGGATGCTCCATGGCGCGTGATGTTAAGAAAGGATTATCTAACGAAATGATCTCTTCCTCCTTCAACTCCTTATCTGGTGTTTCAGGCACACCATTAACTGGAATAAGCTCAGGGAAAAACGAATGACTTCTCAAATCGATCTCTCGTGAATGAAATTCCTCTCGGTCATTTCGAGCCACCAAAGGCTGCAAAGGGAAATCAAGGTTTAGCAGCTTATCGGTAGCCAAGTCATAAGGCAAGGTGATAACCGGAGGAGTCTCGGCTTGAAACATATGATCCTCTTCTTTAGCCACGAAACCTTCATCTTCCGAAAAGACAGCTTCTGATTCAGTATCTGAATGAATCTTGAGCTCGGTGTAGCCAACATGAGGCAAATCATTGAACCTGACACTTTTCTTGGGTGTAGTAGTAGACTGTTTCCCGGTTCTCACATCACTAACCAAACGAATCTTCGGTAGCGTTGCCGGTTTAGCCAACTGATCAGTAGAAGCGGTTTGTGGCATCCACAGCTGATGACAACATGTACAGTATCTAGGAGTTGAGCTTCGATCACTCTTGGATCCAAAGGAAGAATCTTCACCCAATTTTCCAACCAACAGTCTGTAAGTTTCAGCATTGGACTTGTTGGTTGTAGCAAAAGAGAAAAGACAAGTCTCGCACATTCCGCCGACATCCACAAGCTTGCCATGAGCGTGACAGTAAACCAACGACGAGATTTCTGATTTGTGCTTAGAGCAAACCATGTCCCAATGAGACTTCTTCAAATGTTTTGTCCTCCCGAAAATGTGGTCAAGCCTTGAGCACAGCATACACGGAGATTGGAGCTCGGAGTAGTCTGCAAACCTCGAGATCACGTAGGAGAATATGGAGTTGAGGAAGAGCATCAACATCAGTAGCCACTCGTTAAAGGCTAATGCCAAAGCTCTTGTGAAACTCCGTGAACCCGTCTGCGATTTTGCTGGAGACATTTGTCTAGTATCTATCATCTTCCTTGTATAACATATAAGACCAAGAATCAATCTATCAATCAAGGCAGGCTTCAAATCTGCATCAACGAGCTACAAATCAAACATTTAGTTAGACTAAAAATATATGTGGAAAATATTTAAATAATAACATAAATTCTACTCAAAGGAGGACAAAAGAATTGATAGAGATTTCCAGAATCAAGATTCAGGCAGTTTCTTGAATTGTACAATCACGGACCCGATTGGTTCGGAGATAACACATAATTATCCAGAAATACAATCACAAACAGAGACAAGAAGAGAGAGTTGACCAAAACAAAATAAAGCATATATAACATACAGATGTCGTCTTCCTTCTCAAAAGTCTATTTCTCCAGTAGAAGATCAATTTTTCAAAACAACACTAAAACTTCTATAAAGATTTTGAACTTATTCTAAATCAAGTTTTTTTGTCACAAAAAGAAAAGAAAAGGGATCTAAAAGAACAATTGACAGCTGAACTTACAAATTTCTCATTTTTTATTTTTGTTTTTGGGAAAAACAGAAATCGAAACTATAGTAAACGATCTATCTCACAAAGCTACCTTAAGGAAAATAGATCAACCGTGGCATCAAGATTCAAGACACACAAATGAACATGAAGAACAACAAAAGAGTAAGCTATATCTTATATAAAGAGTCTAACCTTGTGATCAAGAGGAACACCAGAGTCATCGCAAGTAATTCTTTGGTTCAAAGGTCCATTGACAGAGCTGAAGGTGAAATTCCAAAAATATAATCAGGTTTCTGTGAGAGACCTTCCAAGAAAACATTGATGCCATTTTATATATATTATTATTTCTGAAGGAAAAAAACTCAAAAGGCAAACCCATACATAGACCCAGCAAGGACTGTCTGCACGTAGTCTTCACAATAAACCACGAATTATTAAATAAACCCAAAAAATAAAAATTATTCCTTGTGAAACATTGAATGAATGAGAGATCTTTTTGATCCACCAAACAAAAGGCAAAACAAAATATAAACACATAGTGGAAAAGTACATATTAAAATATTAAATCATTGGTTTATAAACTCGCAACTCGCAATTTTGGTTTTATATAGATCTAGCCATTTTTTATATAATATTTCAATTATCTAACGTATAATTATTAAATGTTAGGTAAAGACTGAAAGTAAAGATCGATCGATATGGAGAGGGACGGGAAAGTCGGCTACTGATTTGAAAAATGGCTGCCGAAAGTTGGCCGTCGAGAAAGCTAAGCTTGTGTGTGGAAATCAAATTTTATTTCTTTATTTTTGATAAACAACAAAACAAAAAAAGTTATTTGAATGATGTTTTGACTGAATGTAACGCTTATAATAGAAGAAAAAATAATAATAACCCTTCATAATATCAATTTATTAAAGTTATTTGAGCTATGTTTTAATTTTGGTTTTATGATGGAAAAAAGGTAGCTTTTTTACCTTTTTCCGTTACGATTTTCGTTTTTGACAGCTTTTGTATTCAATCTTGTTAAACTAAATAGTCCATCTAATGTGTCCACCGTCCAAGGCGGACCTACAATTAGTGAGCCCAAACGTTAATGAAAGACATGTTTCCAAATTGGTGGGTCTATTATCATTTACTTAATTAAATACATATCTAAAACATAAATCAATCATTTACTTAAGATCAAATCTTTATATTTATAGGGAAAAACAAACATTACAAGGGCCATGGATGCATTGAAAATTTATTGCATGAAGAAATGATAAGAAGGGAAAATATGTGTAATATCCTAAATTATTTTTTGAAATTAATGCATAAAATTCTAAACAAGATTGAGAGAGAAGAAAGTGACTACCATACACACCCGTTTATCAGAGAGAGGATGCTCAGCGATAATTACGTGTGGGTTCCTCTCTTTCATTTACGCTTAACCATCTTTAGTATGGAGGGCCTACATTTCTCTATTCATTATTACTATTATTTTCTATTTTCTTAAAATATTAAATATCACACATTTTTGTGTATGAATGAAGCCTTTGTTTTATTAGCCATGGTGAATTACATTTTACAAATCTCATCATCTTATTTTCAAGCTCCAGTAACTTTAATAAATTGATGTGATTTGCGAACAAAAGCTACACTTAACCCTGAGGGTTGAATGCATATTAGCTTTAAATGTTATAACCGTTCATTTGTAATGTATATTTTGTTGGATTTGTACTTTAATACACTAGATTTAAAGCTACATATATTTTGTTGGCAATGATGAAGTAAATTTCAAAAGTATATTTTTCAAGATACGACGGTAAGTTGCGGAGAATTTCTACTCGGAAAATGTCCCTCTCCCTCCCATCATTACGTAGACTAAACATACATTATAAGAAAAACATAAGATGCAAAGTAATTTATTTTCCTCTATATATAATATATTATAGTTTCACATTAGTTACAACTTATACCACTTATGTAGTGAGCATTTTTAACAACATATATCCTTTTTTTTTTTGGTTCAAAAATAACAACATATATCTTAAAGGAACCAAAAAACATAGATGATATTATGTCTTCTGGTTTCTTTGTTTCTGTATATAAAATTAATAGTCTCATTAATAAGATTCACAAGGAAAAAGAAAAAAAATGGACACAGGGTGACAAATAAATTAAAGCATATTAGAGAGTTCCATCAAGTGGCTCATCTCCTCCATTTGACCCCCAGTACTTGTTTCCTCCAAAAGCCATTTCTCAATAAATGTTAATGGTGGAGTAGCATGATGATGATCATCATCATCACCATCTTCATGATCACCGTCAACGGTATTCTCTAAAGTCTTTGGAGGAGCACTGAATCCCTGATCATCATCAACATTCATTATTTTGCTATGACCCTCTTCCCAAGAATCTTGTAGCTGCTTGTATGGAAACTGGCTGTAATGATCCATAAGACTGTTCGTTCGATTTTGCGTTTTTGGTTCCAAGAGATTAGCCGTACTACTACTCTTTGGGGATGCCTTGGTCCAACCTTCGAGAAGGCGAGAAATGTTTTCGGTGCTTGACGCATAGGTAGATCTATGATTGGTGGTGTTTCTTGTGGCTGAAGTTTGCAACGCAATGTTTTCTGAAATGCTTCTCTCTTCACTCTCGGACTTGTTGAGCTTTTTCTTCAAATGGGTGTTCCAGTAGTTCTTGATATCATTATCGGTTCTTTGTGGCAGATATGATGCTATGGACGCCCATCTTCAGATCCATATATACACAATTATAAGCCGACTTAGGGTTCATATCATCAAAGATTATATATAAAAAAAAACATTCAAGAGATGAAGAGATGTTGCGTTTTGAGATTACTTGTTACCCAATAAGGCTTGCAAGTGAATGATCATTCCTTCCTCATGAGGAGTAAAGTTTCCGCGTTTAATTCCAGGTCTCAGATAATTTGTCCATCTCAGTCTACAGCTTTTGCTGCATCTCAATAACCCTTTAAAAAGCCAAAGATACAAAACATCAACACACATATGCAAACAAAAACGTAGAAACAAAATAATTAAAACAGGTAAACATAATGATCACCAGTGTTGGTGGGAACAGATCTCCAGTTTCCAGGACCATGTTCTTGGATGTAAGAAACAAGAATGATGTCTTCTTCAGGAGTCCATGGTCCTTTCTTGATCCCTATCTTGTCACAGCATGGAGGCCTCCCCATCTTTCTCTCTCTCTCTCTCTAGATCTCTAGAGTTTAATTATGCTGTCTTTATAGATGTGTAAATATGTATGTATGCATAGATGAATTAAATGCAATATGTGTATGTATATATGTGAAATTAATTGGGTGACTTAAAGAAGAGGGAAGAACTTTTAAACCTGCTTTTCTTGACAACCTCTTTTGGATCTACCAAAGCTCACGAGTCACTCTGCCTTTCCCATCAACTATTTTGCGTAGTCAACTAACGAATTTAGATTAAGCTCCATAAAACAAAATGTACATCTCCCCTAAGAAAAACGTTACTAAATTATTTAGTTAATGATCCACCAAACTCATTTTACTTATTACCGAAATAATGCCATAAAAGGAACTCTTTAACATATTCTAGATAAATACTTAGTGTATCGATACAAATAAATTGCTGGATATGGAACTTTCGTTGGTAATTACTTATAAACATTGCGGAAATAGTGGAGGACTAGTGTGTGGATTTATGCGATAATCAATTTATTATTGGGTGAAGACTCGCAAGCTAATGTGATATTATGGTGAAAGTAGCTGAAATGGTGCCATGGTGGCAAGAAATTGATCGACATCAAGTGTGAAAAGAAACACAACTTTTCATTGATTTTCTCCATGATTAAAGTGAAGCCATTCACTGCAACTTGAACATCCTCAAGTTTAAAAAAGTTAAATGTGGAATTTAGTAAAACTTGAAACAAAGTAGAAATCCATAATCCCACGACTTTCCGTATACATTTTGCGTGGCTCTCGAGATCCATGTCTTTTGTTGTACATGTATCACGCATCTCTCGTTGCCTGTTTATGTTCAACCAATATTCTCACAGCTTATATCTTACCAAGATGTAAAAAAATTACCATTTTCGTTCTTTGTGATATACTTTCCATATCACGTTGATTGTTGATCCTTACAACTCATATCTTTCTTTTTTTTTTTTTTATCCACTATATTCATGTAGATGAACCAGTCCAAACCAAATTGAATCAAAATGCGTTTATTATAGTTTTATAAATTTAGATTCGTAAAACTACTGAAAACCGATACCGATCGTTGGGCAAAAAGCAATCATCTAAAACCGAACCGAATGCATTCCGATCCCAAACCAGACTGCGATTGCATTAAACCAAGCCAAACCGACCAAAGGAAATTTATGAAATTCTTTTTAAGTAATAAAACAAAGCAAATGATAATACCCCCCACCTAACCTCCAAGGTCCAAGCGCCCCTACTAGTCTATACGATGATGCTTGATGATGAAAAGAAAGCAAGAAGCAAAAAAAAACTCAAAACGAGACAAGTCCGACAAGCTGCTTCAAATTAGTTAAAAAGCAGAGAAAACAAGACATATTATCATACCATATGTCCTTGTGTCAACTAACGCAGACGCTATACAGTCTATATTATCCATCTTATAAGTGCCAGAGAATCATCATTCTCTCCCACAAAGAAAACCCAAACGACACAAAAATCCTTTAACTTTCTTTCCCTTTGTCTTATATAACCGAGAGACTACACACTTGCTAAGAGATTTAAAGATAAGTGTGACCAAGAGAGAGACCGAGTAGTCACGTGCGCAGACAATACCCGATAACAATGCTGATGAATGCCACCACGCATACAAACAGCAGAGGGAACCCAATGTGCACTTCTTTCACTATCTTCTTCGTCCTCACTTCCGCCTGCATCAACACAACCTTTTTTGTTAGTAATTATTGAAACTGTGAGAGTACGGCTTTGTTTTCCACTACTACGAAGTCTCACCAGCTCTTGTTGCAAGCTTTGTCTATGTTGGGAGCTTATAGACCGCTCCTCCATTAGCTTCGAAATGGTTGAATCAGCCTGCACCAGATTTTTCAACTCTTTAGCACACAGTTAACAGTGCGTATAAGATACCACCAAAGCTATGGACTTTCATAACCAAACCTGTTTTAGCTTGAACTCAAGAGCATTGACTTTCAGCTTCATCTCCTCAATGTCTTTAACCAACTTATATTCATCCAATGCTTTGATATTCTGAGCATCTGTTTTCTGCAGCTGGACAACCTCTCTCTCCCTATGTATCTTTGGTTCATCAGGGTAAGTCACGCTGTTTGCTGAAGTTATTCCATTAGTAAACCCTTGATCCCCAGGAAGATCCATGGCCATATTCGTGGGAGCATCCATATTATGTGTTGCCTTTATCCCCCTTCCATCATCTGCATCCTTATGAGACCTAATCGGATTTGGATCAAATTCAGTTTCTTTTGCTATTTTCAATGTATCGTATCCACCTTTAGTTGCCTTCGAGTCATTAGCAGGATTCAAATCTTCAGTAAAATCCATGATGCCCCATTTTGGTGCCTTCAGCTCCTTTGCATCGTATGATGCCTTTAACTCATCATGTCCAACCATCCTAGGCTCCTTTACAATCTCTTTCTCCTAGATCAATAAAGTTTGAGAACAAACAAACAAGTATAAGAAACTTCCTATTGCACCCAACAAATCTGCTTCTAGGTTAAGCTAAAATGGACTTGGTGGAAAAGAACTACACTCACTGGTTGGCAATTACTCTTCATATATTACTAAAATCTCAAAAAGCTTGGTTGTAAAAAGGGCTAAATACTCTTCTTACATATTGTGGAGGGGGATGGGTCTCTGATTGTCGATCCTTGAGGATGGAATCTTCAAATGCTGGTTCCTGCTTTAGTGTCCCATTAATTGGAGATAGTTCAGGAGAGTCAGAGGGCAACACGAGAGTGACTCTCAGTTTGTTTTCCTCTATGTGTTTGCCTTCCACTTTGGAGAACTGCCAAGAATATATGAATATACATATATACTTCGTCAGACCAAATAATTGAATTTCAGGATAGAAAAGCTCATAATGTGTTGGGATGCTTACCATGCTAGCTGTGATGTCTTCATCAGTTGTTTCCGCAGGCACAGCAGTACTCTGGATTAAGAATTTGTCTTTGCAAACCATGTCTTGAGGTGGCTCTTTAAAAGCTTGCATAATGACTGCAAAAACATATACAGCTCGATTAACCCAAAGCATTGACTGAATTTGAATGTTCAAGAACCCATTCATATCCAGTTTAAATTTCGAATGCTCAAACAAATTTTGAATTTGCCAAAATCCAGGTTCCATGTAGTGAGAAACAACATGAACTTAGTAACTAAGTCCGGCGCAGATACATATTCCCTTATGGACAACTACAATGTGAACTCTAAAAGCCTAGGATCCTAAAGCAATGTCCAAACGCTCTTCAGATTCGAGGGACAAAGGACAGATCTATGCATATATAAACATTCCAGTTGACTTCCCACGCCAGTAGACATCATGCAACAACTTATCCCACCGACCGAAGAAATGTAGGTGCAAGAAATTCACGCATTGCTCAGAAGGATATGAAGGTTGGCAATACCAGAGAATTCACAGGATGATTTTGGTGCAACAACGCCAACATTTGGACGGACACAGTACTTCTTTGGTGATGTAGTTTTGACCTGTCAAAATTACAAAACCACATCTAAGTTAGGCTTATTATGCAGATAAAATATAAGTTTCCGAGAGATCCTGAAGCCAGAAAGAGAGAGAAGAAGATGGAGAAAAATGTGCTTCAGACCTTAAATGCAACAAAATGTTGGGTTGTATTGGTTAGCTGTACTACGCAGGTACTCTGCTTCTTCAGATCAACTACACAAGAGGAAACCGGTTAGTCTTAAAAGAATTACAGACGATTTGAAAAGCAAGGCAAAGATAATCTTTTAACGAGTTCCATCTTCTATTATAAACTGGAATGAGAAGAGGCAAGAAGCCACATCACATAATTACACCACATACAATTCCAGCAGCAAGAAATAGTTCTTAAATTCCAACAGACAGCTTAACATCATACTAACTCATCTTCCACGAGAACAGACCCTTAAACCATAGCACCACTATGATATAATTCAAATTAGAACGAAACAGTTGAGAATTCAGAAAACTCCATATTCTTAACGAGGACCACAGTGTCTACTAGCTGTACTGAAAATGATCATTATGCAAGTGGTAAGAATCAGTCTTACCTACAAACTTCAGTGTTCGCGGTTGAATCTCCAACAGCGGCATATTCATGTTGCTGTGACAAAGATCTGGTTACCACTTGCACCAGGAATCTCTTCGCCCCTACCTCACCAAAAATTAGAGAAATCAGCCCAGGATCACTCAACCATGACACTTTTGATACTCGAAAGGAAAACTAGATCAGATCAAAGCATTAAACTCTCTCCACGATTAGCAAAGCATTCAACCAGAAAAACAGCGAAATCCACACAAAAAAAATGTAGCGATTATGATGCAAGTATGCAGGAAACGGAGATTATTCGAGCTATCGCCTTCCGTCACCAGAAACGAACCACCGCGCTGACTCGTCGACGACGCGTTCTCAAATCAGAAGACTCAAACGTGCCTTCTTTTTTACCTTTAATGCGTTCGCTTTTTCCAGCGATCCGGCCGACACAGCTTGTCGGCAACGCGCTTTCGACTAGCCGGAAGAATCAAACCGTTCGAGTTTCCCCAGCGTGCAGCTCGACGACGATCTAATTATGCCACCGAAAGGCTCTTGACTACTCAACTGATTATATATATATATATATTGAAACAAAAGGGGAAAACAGAACGACGACGTTTTCGGGGAGGCGACTCCTCGGGATCCGCTAGCGAATAGTAAACTCAGATCACGCGGATCTCCAGGAGCCCTAGCGATTTCGAATTCAAAGCAAATTCGAAAGCAGAAAACCACGAAACTCGAGGAAGAGCCTAGTTTTGAGAAGAAAAAACAAAGAAGAAGCCAACGATGATCAAGGAGGGAGTTGAAATCAGAAGAAAAAATTTACCGTATCTCCGACGAAGAACCGACGGAGCTTGAGACAGCGATGGGATTTCTCTAGAAACCTAATTTGAGGGAAGGGTGTGGGTAGAAGAAGCAGTGAAGGCCAAGTATGGTAATGTGTTCAAACGTTACATACATCAAACACAAAAATTAAAAGTATGGTACTGCGATGGAGATGGTGAACATTTGTTGTACCTAACGGCAATTACTAAACAAAATTTGTTACGACTCAAAACATTTGCGATCATATTTTTAATAACGGGCTTTGCTGGATCTTAAAAACAAATGTACTTTATTATAGGGTAAACAAAGATTAAGTGAGATTCGAGAAGAATAAAACAAAAAAAATAAGTGAGATTGCATTTGGTAGATGCGCAAATAGATGTGATTGTGAAATGAAAGCACTTTTTTTAATTTTGTAAATTTAAAATGCTTTTGAAGAGAATCATACGCGTGATTGTGATTCCATTCCGATTACCAACTTCTTGGTTGCCCTTTTTTAATTGTTTTCCCATTTATCTCTCTGGCAACACACACAAAAAAACAAAAAACAAAAAACAAAAAACAAAAAGATTTAAATACGTAATACAATATTCCCAAACACGTCAACAAAATATAAAAATGTAACCCAAAAAGATACACAAATACAAATTTATAAATTTGGCAAAAAAAAAAAAAAAAAAGCTCTTATATGTCGGAGATGTATTGATAAAAACTCACTGAGAATTTATCAGTTTGAAGTTGTTGAAACGAAACCTTGTAAACATAATAACATAGTTTTGTTATTCTTTAATTCCTCGTGTTGTGAAAAATCAATCGTATTGATCTCTCGCAAAGGTGTTATTAGCTTCTCGTCGGTTATTGTGCAAAGTTTCTTCATGGACGACGTATCAATACAATAAAAATGGTTAACTGAGCAATCTCATCATAAAGTGGCGAGAGCCCACCAATTTTAATTAGGAGCCCACAAGTTCAGGATTTCAGTGCGTGAGTCCACCAATTTTAATGGAGGGCCCAGCATGGAGATATGCATTAACCCATCAAAGAAATAGCAAAAAAAGAAAATGAGAGTCAAAGTTAGGAAAAGTCTATCTTCGATTATCATCCTGGTTTTTATTTATTTATATAATTAAACACGAAAATAAATAAATGGCAATCACCTACCCACATTTCAACCTCGTGCGTGTCTTATATAGAAGAAGAAGTGCATAAGGCAATCTCCAGCAACACAAAGAGCACATTTGAGAGAGAATTCAGCATTTGATAAGCTAAAAACACTCTTAATTCTTTCCAAAGGGGTTCCCTGAGGTATGTTGTTACATTCCCTTTTTTCTTGGTTTCATCTGTCGTCATTATGGATGATATCTTAGCTCGATTCTTGCCATGGATTCTTCTAGATCTATTGTTGACATGTTTGCCCTCACCTGTGCTGACTTTTTTCCTATCCTTTCTGATCATAACTCCGAATCTACGCTTAGATATGGTTTTGTCAATTTTACGATCGCTGGATCTATTGATTCCTTCCTTGTTTTCTTTGGGTTTATCACTCTTCTGAAGACGGCTTTGACCTTTTTCATTTGGATAGCTATTATCAAGAGTTTATTATGGCTTAGATGTTGCTGAAGTAGAACATTCTCATGGTCCCATGTCTGGTTTGTGTTTCTTTCTAATCGATAAATCTTTGGTGGGTTTAATTAAGATCTATTTTTTGTTTGCTGCGCATCAAAGCTTAAACCAAGACAAGATGAGATGGGTGCTAAATCAACATCAACATGTTGTGTATATATACAGATGTTGATGTTTAGAACCATTTGTTGTCAGTGTTAAAATCAACATGTTTTGTATATATAGATGTTGACATGAGTGTTTTCTTTTTTTCTGTTGATTTTTACAGATCACAAAGGATACAGACTATGGCGAAGGGAGTGGCAGTGTTGAACAGCAGCGAGGGTGTTAAGGGGACTATCTTCTTCACCCAGGAAGGAGAAGGTAGTTTTGTTTAAATCCCGTTAACATTTTTGAAGCCAATCTTTTTATGTTTTGTTTTTTTTTTCATTTTTTCTCAGATGATTGAGTTCTTCTTGTGTTGGTTTTTGCAGGTGTGACCACTGTGAGTGGAACAGTTTCTGGCCTTAAGCCTGGTCTCCATGGTTTCCACGTCCATGCTCTTGGTGACACCACTAACGGTTGCATGTCTACAGGTACTACTCTTGTACCTCTGTGAACACATTTCTCAAAATTTTGTATGGATTTAGAATCTTTAGGAGATGATGGTATTTGCAGATATGGTTTGAATAATTCAACTGAACTTTTTTTTTGTTTATCGTCAAAGTAATTGAAATTGTTATTAATCCTTTGGTCAATCTCCTATTCTAGGTCCACATTTCAACCCCGATGGTAAACAACACGGTGCCCCGGAGGATGCTAATCGTCATGCTGGCGATCTTGGAAACATCACTGTTGGAGACGATGGTATTTTTTTCTTGACATCTGTATCCCTGATCTCAAGCTTCTTTGGAGCAGTTTCGAATCTTGAAAATTCTTCACCATACATGTTTGCTTATTCTCTCTCACATGTGCTTTATGCAATCTTCTTCTTTTTTTTGCTTTCTCAGGAACTGCCACCTTCACAATCACTGACTGCCAGGTTCATAGCTGTGTACCTAGTTTATGTTTTTTTTTTCCTTTTGCGGAACTGCTATAGTGTGAACCAATGGTTTGTGTTCGTTCTACAGATTCCTCTTACTGGACCAAACTCCATTGTCGGAAGGGCTGTTGTTGTCCACGCAGACCCTGATGACCTCGGAAAGGGTGAGATGACCTTTGGCTATCTTTTATTTAAGATCATCGTTTTTTTTTTAATTCCCTTATCTTACATTGTCCATAAGAATCTCACTAACCTGGACCCTCATTGGTTTTTTTCACATTTTCAGGAGGCCATGAACTCAGCTTGGCAACCGGAAACGCAGGCGGCCGTATTGCTTGCGGTAAGTAGAAATAAATCGCATTTTCTCAAATCTTTGTAAATCGATCAAAAGTTGAACTCTTTGGTTCTCTGGCAACTCAATGCTCATCTTGGTTTTAGACAATCATCTTGCATTCTGGGTTTGGCTGAAAATCAACCACTATCATGTCGGTCTAGAAATGTATCATAGTTTTTATATGTTTGGGAAGTGACTAGAGACTAATTATATGCTTGTGGGACTTCAGTACAAATAACTTCATCTTCTGATACTAAGCTTTATTACTGATGGCTTCTCAATCGATCTAAAAGACTCGGGACGGATGAACTGACTGAACTTTGGTCTACCAACTTGCAGGTATCATTGGTCTTCAGGGGTAAGCTGTTACTTCCCCGAAGAAGAGATTGATGTAATAAAGAGGTCCTCTGGACCTCGCTTGTTTGCGTGTGGCATTTTAATGCATTTTAGTTGAGACAAAAAAACAAAATTTCAAACTTCAACCATTTCATGAATAAGAAGTTATTGAATATCCTGGATATGTGAATGCTTTTACTGTTTAAGTATGTATGGATTATTATTAAGTTGTCGGGTGCTTTTTCGTTTTTAATTGAATAGATTTATATCCCCTCTTTTATTTTTCTTGTCCGTGAATCTCTTTTTATATGACCACTTTCGATGGAGAAAATGCCAAATACTGTAGCACATTAAGGTCATAGCGTGTTCTACGCTATGCGTATTAAACTACTTGATGGTTCTCCTCTTTTATGATGATCACGTAAATTATGCAAGTGGTTCATGTTCTCCTAATTTCTTTACTATTAACAAAGTCAAAATTGGAAAGCACATCATCAATTATACATCTCATTTCCTTTGGACAAAAACGGAGACGCTCCATTTGAGATAGTGAACACGAAAAAATATTGTGTGATATTGCCAACGTTTCTTGAATCACACTTGTTACGGTTTTAGGTCCCCCGGAGAAAGAGTCAAGATACCTGACTGCTCATTAACCTTCTTCAGCAGAAGCATCAGAAGTGGAACTGTTGCGAGTGTTCTTTGTGATCCCACCATTATCAACTTTTTCTGTGTCAACCAAACAAAGATTCAGTTCACAATGTAGAAATAAACATTATATTCAACACCATATGCTCTCTTCTCCCACCTTTGCCCTTGTCAAAGCAACGTTGATCCTATGCCAATCTCCGAGCAGTGAAGAAGCAGAGCTCCTTGGTTTCTCCCGTGACCTCACAAAGGATACCAATATGCAGTCTTTATCTCTTCCCTAAACCATGTAAGCTCATTAAAACGTGGGCTATTGAAGAATACACTCTTGCCAAATCAAAATACTCAAGAAAAAGAAGAACGGTAAGAGTTCTTGAGCCAAACCTGATACTTGTCAATAGTATGTATCTCCACCGACGTTGTTGGAATTGCGTGTTGAATGAGGCTCGCTTGTGAGTTATAAGGAGTAATGATTCCTATATCTTTACTATCCACTCCATTGTTAACTAGCTCCTCCACGATCTAAGTAAAGCATTACTAAAGTTAGCCCATATTTTCTTTTAGTTTAAATGCACGGTTCATACTCAACAGTACCTCAGCTATTATGGAAGCTTCAACTGGATTGTTGATCGCATTCTGATCCCTGGCTTCAAAAGCACGCAGCATATCTAGAAAACCATATCATATAGTCTCGTCAATATCCAGCCCATATGTCAAAGAGCTCATGTGAAGAAAGCAACTAGTAAGCAGCGACAAACCTGTATTAATAAATACAACTGTTCTGGTTGACTCCAGAACCTATGGAAACATAAAAACAATAGATTATTCGTGGACAAAGCCTACACAGATTCAATGTACAACACAACAAATATTGTAAAGCAAGCGAGTAAAGCTAAACAGAAATGCTTGTGTATCTAACTAAAGAATTGCATCAATATCTCTGAAGTGGCGATAAAATGTTATTGTCTACGCCTAGGCTAATTGCATAACCATATCCGGAGTATTAACTAGAAGGAATGTGATATATGCATGCACATACCTAGATTTATATACAGATGTGATGAGTTGCTTGAAGATGCCTCTAATTTATTAAATGTTTAAGAACAACACACTGACCTTTCTAAGCCACGACGAATTAGAACTGGAAGTAGAAAGCACAAGTGTGGCATTAGCTACTTCAGCCGAACCGCAGCATAATCTATCTCCATAAATCAAGGCATTTGATAGTTCCATAATACCTCGACACATTCGGTACTGCGCATAAAAGATGTGTTGGTAAAGCAGGATGGGTATACTCAATAACAACGCATAATAACATAATCCCAACTTAGTAGATAATGAAAACCTGATTTTGTAACATTGAAATTGCCTGAGGATGAGCTTCTGATAACCTGCGAAACAAGCTTATTCCCATCCCATTTTCTCTAGCCTCTGTACTCTGATTTCATAAACACAACAATGAAGCTGAATTTACTGGCAAACGAGGCATCTCAAAAGAGGTAGTTAATGCTTACCTGCACCAGTGGCGGTAGTTGATAGTGGTCACCAACCAGTACAAATGTAGAGGCAAACAACAAGGGTCCTATCGAAACCTAAGCAGTACAAGAAACCATGCATTTCTTAAAATGTTATTCCAGTTCAAACGCAATTGTGTCGACTTTCTTTAAATTCGTTTACATGGGTGGGATTTTTTAAATAAGGGCCACTGGCTAAATTTTTTGTATTAAGCAAAAGTCTATTTCAATAGCCGTTGAAATTATATCACAAATATCCGAGTTGTCTTCGTAAGAGTTTCATTTCTTTTCAACCTATTGGCTAGGGATGAGAGATCATACAGGGAGGGCAATCTGGCCAGCTTCATCAATAATGCATACGTCAAATCGCCTATTCACAAGCAAGGGACTATTGATTCCCAAACATGTAGAGGCCACAACTTTGACCTGGTCCAACTTTGTTTTGATGTCGTTGACACTGCACATATCCATAGCTGCCACAAAGATAAGTCTCAACTGCGTTGAGAAGACTCCAAAGTTATAATAGTTAGAAGAATATATTGCATACCCGAAAAGCAACTTTCTCGAACTTCTTCATGTACAGCCTCGTCTCTCCCAATACGTAGAAACTCAATTCCCTACACGTGTATTCAAAATAGTATATGTAATATGTATTGGTGTCCCTACATGTCTAAACGTAGGCACTTGAAGAAAAAGAAAGGCTTTCCACTCGTTCTTAAGATCAAAAACTCATGCAGTTTATTCGCTGAAATTCCCATAAATTCTTCCTTATCTTCTATATGTAATACATTTCCAACCCACAGGTTTTATGCATCGTGCATCTAAGGAAAAAGAAGAGAACTGCGACATTTCAATAGAACTACTGAGAAAATCGTATAGCAGAAAAGTTATAGGTAGTTAACGACAGAAGAAAAAGAATGTGGACAACCCGATTTCAACAAGCACCCTAGCACCACTTCATTGTTGAATTTCCCAATCGTGTTCACTAAAACCTAAAACTCATTTTGTAGAGTTGACATACTGTCCTTATTTTTCATTTGTTTCCTTGTATAACTTTACCTAGCTATGGCTTTCCCTAGCTGCTATTAGAAAGTAACCTTTTAAATGTACACTAAAACTACAGAATGTCAACATAACTATAAATATTTTAGGGATGAATGAAAGAATCATAATCCAGAAAAAGAAAGAAGGTTGGCTGGAGGATAAAGGACCTGTGATTTTAATTTGATAAGTAGATTATCAACTGCAGAGTTTGTGTAAGATGCAAGCAGAATAGATGAACCTCTGATCAACAAAGCTTTCACAGCATGGACCATTGTGGAGGTTTTTCCTGTTCCAGGCATTCCTAAGATCAACGCATAGTCCTTTGCCGTGAGTATCTGAAATTAAAACAAGAAAGCAAGTCCTTTATGAGCTTTGTTACAGAAAGAGTGTCGTTCAGAAATACCTTAAGAATAGCACGTCAAACAAGAGATCAATCAAACATAATCATGCAATGACCTTTAGTATAGCTTGGCGCTGATCATTATTTAAGCTCTTTTCTGACCAAATATATGATATTGCTGGATCCTGGCTTAGTATAGATCCATTGTCAAATCTAGGAGGCTACAGAGACATAGAAGTAAGAAGACATAACGAAGCATGTGTAGAAGAACATAAGAAACAAACAGCATTATCATGTCAAGGGGGAAACTGAAAAAGATGAATCAGACAAATCACCTCAAGATCCACAATCATTTTCCTGATGCCAATGCTATGTCCATTTTGTATGAAAAGCTGCATGAGATTGAACCTTGAAGAATATGAAGATCATGGATCAATATCATGACAGCCCATGTAGACAGGATCAAGCAGTCAATAACAATATAAATTACAAAATCACCTCATAACCGAAAATGATGTCATGAATTCATCCTTGTAAATTTGCCATATCTCATGAGCGAGATTAGACACCTCAGAAGAAGGTTCGCTCCAAGGAAGACGTAATCGCTTGGATAAAGAAACCTAGGGATTGACATAGCAAAAGGAAAATCGGGAACAATTTAGACATGTCTGAGTGAGAACATTAAGATAATTTGTACCGGGCAAACTAGGCTAAATCAACAAACTGTTAGAAGAAAACCTAAGAGGAATGTGCTTACTGATACATGAGTGCGGCTGATATCTGCTATAGTTCCATTTGCAACGGTCAGGTGGCTGACTTCTGTGCGAAGAATCTGGATACAATATTTAGACAAAAAAGAGGAAACAGCATTAATCAAGAGTTGGAAAGAAAAGATGGTGTAAATGGCCACAATACTTTCAAGTGCAACAATTTGTCAATTTCAAAAAGTGATCACAAGTGTTTGCATCTAAGACTTTCAGAAAAACATGCTGGTGAGCAAGGTTGAGAAAATTTGGAAGAAAATTCTCAGCGCAGCTAGATTTATTGGTCCAAATTAACCATGTCAACAGAACAATCAAGAAATTAATTGTACCACGCGGTCTCCTGTTCTAAGTTTGCAATCCAGGTCCTCAGTGGCCGGGGTTCCAGTCCTAATCGTATCTTCCCTGGGTACTCTTTCTCTAGATTCAGATGAGTTTTGACGTACAAAACGATAGATGAATCTAGTATCTTTATGAGAATTAAGATGCTGAACCCCGTCTTTCATGTCAAGAACCATAGAAGAAAGATAACTAGCTGAGTGGCTGCCTTTTGAACCTCGTGGATGTACAATGTCTTTCCGTAGAAGCTGAAAACAAACATATATATAAGATCGCCACAGCACAAAAGATCGTTGAGTTTGTACTCCAGTAAAAATATAGATACAGTTCAAGGCTGACCTGCATCTCTCTAGCTTCCAAGTCAATCAGCCTGTCCCAGT